TATTTTATGCACTGTCATCATTTTTCAAATATTGAGACTTTCATCATGTGACTTTGGTCTCTCATGGTCCTGATACTGTAATCTTATTGAAGGGATGGATTGAGACCATCTTCTGGGTCAGCTTCCAGAAGACGTTAGGATTTTTAAGTTTATATTGACTGATATTTATTATTTTTTTCTGTTGGAAGATCATCAAAATAGAGGATGGATCAACAAAGATACTTTGAAATACTGTCAGAAAATATCTCTGGGTCAGCTCCTGTTATTGACCATGTTACCTGTTGTGCATGATTAAAATTCAGTGTTGACTAACAGTGCTATTATAAGCATTATTATTGCATCAAAATTGGCAAGATGACCTATATTGTACATTATTTTCTGTTTTTTGTCTGTACATTTGACAGCTTTGCTGCCTTGTTGATAATTTAGACTAATTATATCTGCTACAATATCCTTTTGCTTATCATCTTTTACTTTTTCAGGAGGTTTTGGGAAATCAGGCAAAAAAAGGTGCCAAGAGATATCACAGAAGACTGGGTTTCAGCTGGTATGAAGTCTAACGAGCAAGTAGGATGCAGTGATTGTGGAGTGTTTGTTCTGATGGTAAGTTATGCTCCTTAATATAATCATCCATCCAGTATCTATATAGTATAATGGTGACTAAGAGTAAATAGATTTATTTTGAGTGAGACTTCCATCTTTTTTTTATATATGAGGAAATGTTAAAAATTCTTTTATCGATTAATTGTATTGCAAAATATAGTGGCAATAAGGGCATGAAAGAAAATTTTCTCTGGGTTGATTGCAACTTAACCAAACCTACCAGTTCTAACTTGCCCTAAATCTTCAGCTATCAAAGAAGAATTCACTTGTACATGAAATTCTCAAACACAAGCCTCAATTTTTTTCATACCGTTAGCTTACGGCCAACCTGGTCGAAGGCCTTCATCAGACTGGCGTGAGAAGTTGTTCACACTCACTGACCACCTAGCGGTCAGTGAGTGTGAACAACTTCTCACCTTCAGGCCTCCGACCAGGTTGGCCGTAAGCTAACGGTATGAAAAAAATTGAGGCTTGTGTTTGAGAATTTCATTTATATCCAACAACCAAGCTGCTAATGAACATTTCTGATCAAGATTTCACTTGTTCAAAGAGCAATTCATAATTTGATGAAAAGTAGAATGAGCTAGGGCTACAATCTTATCACGATTGTCTGGGCATCTTTTAAAACCAAACTTGCTTGTAACATTTTTGTTTTTATGTAATTCCAGAATGCAGAAACAGTTATTAAGGGTGCTGATTTAAATTCAATCAACCAATCCCTCTGCCAGCCCTTTAGGACCTACGCTAAGAAGCGACTATTACGAGATGCAAGGAAAAGTGAGGAAAGGATATGTGACATTCCATTTTGTAAAAATGATAACTATCACAAATGGATACAATGTAATGTCTGTACATCTTGGTGTCATACAGTGTGTGCTAACGTAAAGGCCACTAAAAAAAATTTACAAAAACTTGTTTTCGTGTGCCCTATGTGCATTGGGAAAAATTAGTCATTATAATAAGAATTACTGTTGAATATTTATTAACATTGAATTGAATTGAACACATCTGACAGCCATTTATTTTGCTAACAATTATTTTTGTTGGTAATTGACAGTTTTGAAATGTAAGCCACCTAGAATTGCAGCAACAACTGACAGAACTTGTATATGTGCCACTGTACATAGTGAGATCCACTACTGTTTTCTTTTCTTTTTTTTAAGTATTCAAGTCTTTGAAGTTTTTAATTTCATAGTAAAGACAGTTACACAATCAATGGAATTCCATATGGAGTGTTAGGTATAAAATACAGGTGGAGTTGGAAACCCAACCCAATAAGTTTCTTTTGAATTTGATTCTAAAATTCTGTTAAAATTTTAGTGTGTGTTTGTGTGTATTATGATGATTACTTGTTGTATTTGTTCTATATTTTCACATCGACAAATAAACATTTTATATTTTGTATCATATACTGTGTTCTTTTTTAATTTTGCTAATCTTAAACATAAGCACATTTTAAAATTTCTAGAAAACCACATAGGAATGCCCATAGGGTCAGGACACTATAAAGCTAGCTTGTTTACTATACCTTTTCATGTGTTAGCTTTACGGTGTTTTGTTGATGTGTGCTATATATGAAATCAAGATCGAGTTGGCAATAGCTAAATCTAGAACCTAGGGTACATGGAAATAGTGCCATCATAAACTTGATAAAATATAAAAAAATAAGAAATATTACAATTACATTTAAGGATGTTTTAACAACGTCTGCTGGGAACAAAAGTCTAAAACATTTTCTGAAATGTAAATTTACCCTTAACATATTGTTTCAAAAAGGTTGAAAACTGTACAAAATTGTGCGCAAAATTAAGAAAATTATGAAAGCATTTGAATGATGGCTGAAAAGAATTTTTGTTTTCGCTGATTTGGGCCACATTTTGTCATGTTGTTATATGTGTCAAAAAAGATGTTTGGTCTATCTTTGGTTTGACTTTTGCCCTTGCTTTGATATCTGTTTAGAAGTTATTATTATTATTATTTTGAAAATATATGTGAACATTTATCATTCATGTTGTCATAAAGCAATGAGAAATATAACAATTAATTGAGTTTGATTTATAGTTTTATAGTTTTATATTGGTGGACATATACCATACATGATCTCAAAAATTCATCCAAGTCTCAATTTGGCACTAGAATTGAATGGAAAAAACATTAAATTACATTTAATTGCGACTTTTGTCTGTATCAATAAATACTTCTTAACTTTAAATCTCTGTTTTTCAAATATATTCCTGAAGTTGGCATGGAAGTCAACTGAAAATTATTTAAGGGATTTCTTAAATATCAACAATCTGTGTACTCACAAGGCTACCCAGGTATGTTGGTTAAAAGTTCTCTCGTCTTAATTGTTTAAGGATCTGGTTGCTGTCTAAGGTTACCGCAATAAACTACTTCGGCAAGACAGGCCAAAATATTATTTACATAAAGTAAAGAAAAATGCATAAATAGTAGCTAAACAAAATTATTTATAGGCCTGCCTAACACTAACAGATAAACTTGACCCATAATACAAAGGACAAAATTTGAACGATCTCATCTAGGTTCTTACAACAGCTGTAGTACCTGTAGTGTCTAACCGGCGTATCTTGAGAACAATAACCAGGTAAGGTGTGATATATATATATGGGGATCGGTACTGTACAGTGCCTCCAAATTGCGTAATAAAACTGGAGAACAATGGCCAGGTAAGCAGCATGACCAGCGCGGCACGGCGGTTTATTCACGACGACGGTTTATTCACGGACTGCTACCCCCGCATGAAAAATCCGTCAGAACGGTTTATTCACGACGACGGTTTCTTCACGTGACCGGTTCGCTCGATCGTCACCTTGACACTCACCTTGACTTGTCGGTAAACGAGTGTCGTAAGATAACCAAATGTTTATTTTATTATTACGTTTTGAATGCTGCTATCGAATTTGGTGTTTTTAAAATGTGCTTTGGCATAATAGAATGACAGTTATTTTATTATAGTTTTTTCAGGTTGATGCACCCGGTTTATTAATAATAGGACGATTTTACGANTGTAGATAAATTTGAACTCTTACATGCCCCGTTATTCTTTTATTTCTATTGATTGTCATATAAAACTATTAAATAATCCTTTCTTTCGTTTCTGATCTTCTTCACATGGAAAAGAGTTCTGAAGAGATGAACTGGTTGTAGGGGTCCATGTTCCTCATTACCGAGCTTCTTTTTAAATTTCACTTGTCACTGATGACACTGAGGCGTGGGAGAGTGTGTTTATTTTAAAGTCCAAGCATTCAGCATTTATACACATTATCTGCAGGGAATCTATCTGCATGCCACAGTGACAGCAACTGATTTAAATACTAATTGCAATGCAATAGTTAACAAGTGAGAGTTTCTACTTATTAGATTTAAGATAAGCATTTCTATACAGAGGGCATATCTATACAGAGAATGATAAATATTCATTCAAGACTGAAGCAAGGTGAATTATGATATGTTGACTGATTATATTAACATAATATGTAAATGAGTGAGTTTATCACCTGCCTTCAGTGGACCTTAACATGGTGCTGAAAGTTTGAGATCCCGAATTCCACTTTATTCGACTTAACACCTACTGCCCCATGCTTCAGGTTGGCATATAGTCATCTTTCTGGTGCTCAAATCATTTTCGAATTACTGAAATATAATTTAAAAAAAAGAAAAAAAAACAATCATTTTTCACCATAAACAGTGCTTTTTATTCCAAATATCGTATCTAACATGATTAATGGTACACAAAATATAAAACAGCGGTGAAGATGTCCATTTATATCCTAAACCATGTAGGCCTATCAATTAAAATTTATAACATGTAGGCCCTAGGCCTAACCCATCAAATCCGGTGTTTAAATTTACTCTGGTTTCCACAGAGGTAAAGAAATGTCCATTAAATTGAAAAGACACCACCAAATGTCACCAATTCCCACAAAATTAGCAGTAGGACGTGCACGAAGTCACCTCTTCCAGATGCACCTGTGAAGTGATTATAAATATGTAAATACTTGAGCAGTTACTACTAGTTAGAATCGAAGTTCCCGGAGAGTTGGAACGATCTACGTAGACCGACATTAATGGTTTCAAGGGGAATGAGCCATTAAATTCCGTGGCCTGTGATATACCTGCTGCTGCCATCTTGACTCTGTTTGGGCCGTGACGCGACAGAGTCCAGTGTTTATATTTCCGCTCTAATGATCACGGACGAAGTCCGTCCATGAACCGGTACGCTAGGTCGTCACCTTGATTGGTCAGTAAACGAGTGTCGTAAAATAACCAAATGATTATTTTATTATTACGTTTTGAATGCTGCTACCGAATTTGGTGTTTTTTAAATGTGCTTTGGCATAATAGAATGACAGTCATTTTATTAGTTTTTTCAGGTTGATGCACCTGGTTTATTAATAATAGGGCGATTTTACGACACCCGTTCATTGACCAATCGAGGTGACGACCGAACGTGTGTTATATAAGCCGTGTCAACATTCTCTTTGGAAAGGTGGACATCAAGCGATCTGTTTATAATTTGCAGTCACTTTTCGACTGGTGTACTCAGGTATTGCTACAAAAAACGCTCTGCTGATTTTGAAATGAAATCATATGTAGGCCTACAGTCATGAGAAGTACGCTACTAATAAAATTATGTATCGCTGTAGCGATAGGGAGCATTATGGTATTGTTGATAACAATGCATAAGAAAACGACGTCCCTGCTCCAAAGTCTCTCCGGAGGACCGAACCACGTCGTGAATGAAGGGGCGCCGGCAGGTACTAGTGCTAGCGGGTCTAACTTCAATATCCCAGGTGTCTGGGACTCTGTTCCGACGCTTGAACTGTTCCTTCGCATGTACCACAAACATCATCATCTTTACGAGAAGATCTTCAAACCCAGCTTGATGCTTTTCTGGCCGCGTCATATACGTGTGATGGTTATCTTAGACAATGAATCGAAACAGGACCATGCGTTGGAAGCAACGATAAGAGACAGCCCGCCTTTTCCGAAGGTTTTCTTTGAAGACCCCTACCCAGAAATATACAACCATCGAGGGCCAAGCCGTATGCAGCGGTCGATGTTTTATCCCGAAAATTACACCAAGGCCGAGTACGTTGGCTATGTGGACACAGACACTCTGTTCGTTACGGTTGTTACGCCGGAAGACCTTTTTAGAGACGGCAAACCTATCGTGGTCGGCGTCATTGGCCAGTTTCTGACGAAAGAATGGGGAATGACATCAATGAAGCATTACAAGTTATTCGGGACTGGAGAAGTCATGAAATGCATGTCATACTTTCCTGTCATCATAAAAGTAAAACATGTTGTTGAATGTCGCCATTACTTGGAGCGGTTACATAAGAAATCTTTCGATGCAATCATTAAAGAAATATCAGTCGACAATCTCTTTTCTCAATTCAGCATAATGTGTCAGTGTATATACACTCTTCATCGCAAGGAATACATCTTTCGCATCCAAATGCGCCCAAACGGAGACTTCAAAACCGAACTCCCCGGGAGAGCACCCCTCAAAACTTACAAAGAAAATTTTACGGCGGAGGAACTCTCCCCCATCGCTAGAACTTCAATTCATTGGAAATATCAGACAGTACCCAAACAGGAACTATTGAAAGCACCGTACAACATGGAGACTTACTACCCTCAAGCTCTTCTGATGGGGATTTGCTATTCCGGTGGCTTCGAAATGTGTCCGAATCACTGTAGATTTTTCAGCAGGAGCGCAATTCATAGAGACCTGTTTAATTTCGAGTACACCGACTGGACCTGGGACCGCCGCTGTATGAAGGCTCAAGAAAGACATTACCAGGACGTGAACCGATTGTTGTCGTATTACAAATCGCATGGATTCCCCATATTTGGCGAGAAAAATCCCACCGTGGCATGTGATCGAATTTATAAAATGCTTCAGGTCGATAAAGAGTATTTACTGATTACACCAACGTAGGCGTGGCTTTTCAAAGTTTTATATTAGTATGAGCATCTCTGATATGATGATGATAGTTGCACTGCTTGTATTGAGGGCCATATGTAACATGTTTTACGCTCTTTAAATATAGTATTTATTATTATAATTATTACTTTCGGGACATACACGATAGTGTGAATACATTTTTAGTGTGAACAGCTGCTGACTTTATTCACTCCCCCCTCCCTTAGCTGAACTGACAGCATTATGGAAAGCTAAAGGTAGGATACCATCTTTTTAGAAGTGAATATGTATCTTGGACAGTTCGTATCAGACTGATGTAGGGTAACTTGTGATCATTTAGAGATTATCTTGTGCTACGACACTTAGGGCGCATTCCCATAGATTTTAGATCGATCTATCCCCGTGGGGAGTCTCACTAGATTACTGTCAGATAATCCGGCTTAAATGTCCGTCCCGCCTACTACAAGCTGTAAGGGGGTAATTAACTTTCGTGCCCGCTCGGCTGACAGCTATTTAGCGTGAACCCCCAGGGAGTTAGGTCGATCTAGTTGGATCGATCTAGACCCCATTCCCAGAAATTAGATTGATCCTGTAATATAGTTTACAGGTATTTGGTCGCACCGGTCTCTTCATGTCATGTTACTCGTAGGCCTCATACAAATATACATATTTTCCCAAGTTTCGTTCACTTCTCTAAGTACCACCTAAAAAATCCTTAAAGAAAAAAGAGTGAGAATATATCAACTAGTAAATATAATTGTTATTCATAGATGTGATGAGAAATGGTACTTAAAGATGCATTTGAAGTATATTTTGCCACAAAATGTCAATATATAGTTTTAGATACACAACTTGAAGAAATGCCAAAGGGCATCGTTTCATATTTTCCGAAAAAAATTAATTTTGCTCGTTTTTTTACTAGTTTCTTTCTGTTGCTGTGAACCGTCCGAAATGACTTTCACTTTAATAAATAATTGTATTGAATTCCAGTCTATTAATTTTCGTCAACGAAGGGCTCCGACGTGATTCCAAATCCGAGTGAAGTCTTTCACTTCACGTGCACAGAAAAGCATTACAAACAACCTCACATCTTCAGTTAAAAACGGAATGTTGCTTTATACTGTGCGCTATTCACATTTTATTCTATTTATGTAAATGGGCTCAATATGTGTGCAACAGTAACTCCAAGTAATTTACATACTAATTTTGAGCATCTTGCCGACTTTAGTGTGCATCGAAAAGTTCGCTATATAATCGGGGCTTTTGTAAGATCAGCTGTGCTACATTTTACATTTTATGGGCACATTTGGGATGAAGATAGCCAAGGCATGTCACTTGATTCACGTATTATTTTGATCTATTTTAAGCATACTGGGTGTGAAAGAACCAAAAGGGTTATCAGTTAACTCGGCTTACTTTCATCTTGAGAGTTCAATCCCTTTGATACAGTAATAATAAAATTGTACTACTACTACGTTCAAAATTGTCGATGTTGATTGCTGTCTGTCATGTTGGATATCCCGCGTTTTTCGGGAAGTCAACAGTCAACATGGCCCGCAACATGTCATGGAGAGGTAGTTATATATACTGCGGTGTCCTGGTGCCTGTAAGTTAAACTGGAGACATGCCCCCTCGCCCTCGAAAAGTATGAAATGTATTCCGTTTTTTTAAGCCCCTTTCACACTAGACGGCGTCTTTTCTGCGTCCTTTGTGGACCATGTAACTGGCATCGATATGGTCGTAGAGAAGAGGCATAAGCATTGCTTTGGCTGCAGATTGAATCCTCAATGATCGATCAGTTGTCGGCACAGAAGTAATGGTTTTATTTGCTCTCAAACGGGGCCGTTCTAACGGAAGCAGAAAGGACGCTGTCCAGTGTAAAGGGGGCTTTAGTAGCCACATGGACTCTCAGCATTGAGCTGGTCTCTTGTTACCTCTCTCTCTCTCGTCTCCCCAGCAGATGTTCCACACAGTCGTGCGCTCACACAAACACAGGATCATTTTTGCCTCATTCTGACGCCGACTGAGGGAAAAGTAAGAAACTCCTTTTGGACTGGAAGAAAGCGCAACAGTAATCTTTATACCAATTGCATGCTTCGTGATTTTGGTAATGATGTATTTACTGTTCTCATAAATGAACTGAGCCAGAGGATTGTATGCTCAAGCTAATCGTGTGTGTATCTGGTGGCATATTTTTAATTTTGCTGGTCTTTTTTTGCTCAGTGGAAATGACAGTGGAACGTCAGATTTGAGGAGCGTATGCTCTAAACTTGAATAAATGGTATATAATATAGATCGACATTTTGTACTTTCTGTACCGCATGTCAAATTAGGTATGGTAAATGGAATTAAAAATAATATTTCAAATGGTTTACAGCTGTGAGATTATCATATGTAAACAAAAACACATGGAACTGGAGTTAGGACATAATTTTTGACCAATAGTGTATATGTCTACATGCACACACAAGAATCCAGTATGAAAAGCGTTTCAATGGAAAATTGATAAATCAATATACAAAGCAAAAAATAAATAAAATAAAAATAAATAACTTGGGTAGCCATGCTCATTTCATCACAGTCTAAGGATTATGTATAAGACCAAATTTATTGACAAATTTGAGACAATTGTTAATCCATTCCCTAAGCTTTTAAAACAAAAAACCCTGAAAGTGCATTTTAATAGACATATTCTGTAAGATGGACACAAAATTGTCAACAAAACATACATCTTTATCATAAGTTTTTGAATATTTTATATAAAATCAACAAAATTATCATAGATCATTTGCGCCTCTGTGCGGCAGTGAGATCTACAATTACATGTATATTCACCTTCTTCTCCATCAGAAAACTATTCACTGTACCCAGAAGTTCCTGAATATTGACCAAGTTATGGCTTTACTTATGATATAAATGAAATCAATGTTTGTCATGTTCAATACGCAGTGTTTACACTATAGGATTATCATATTCTCACTGCTGTTTGGTAATTACCAATAAGGATTTACATGTATAATACATTCTAACAATACAAAACTCCACAAATTTATGTACAATCACAAACAACTGATAAATGAATTACACAAACCAATACAATCATAGGGTCTTTGAACCTTAGGAATTATATGCACTGCTGCTTGCCTTTGGACAATCTTAAATTTAAATTTCTGGATATCTACAGAGACAGTCAAATAAAGAGCTTTGTCTATCTATGTCTATTTTCTCCAATTTAATGTACTCACACAGACAGCCAAAATCCTGAAAACGCTCACATACATGTGGTACGATAGGTACCTGTGCTTGCAATAAATGGTACATCCATTTATATATATATTTCTACCTCTGATTCTTATAGCCAGTAAGATATAAACTATCCCATTTGTGGTTTTTCTGTACTTTTAATATACCATGTTCATCAGGGGAAAATGGAGAACTATCTGGTTTCTAGTCGTTTTATTCACATTATTTTGTGTATTGTTTCATCATTATTTACAAAACCGCACAATTCTAGATATTAAACCATGTCATAATGTAAACTACACTTAATATTAGTACTTTTCATCATGTCAAAGGAAAAGAATTTATACCATTTCCATAATGAATTTATTATTACAACAGCTGCACTGACACCAGACTCTTCTCTTTTCAGAGAAAAGGATATTACAATTTTCAAATTCAATGACTGACCATTTCAAACTTGCGTTTAATCTAAATCTTGTTTACTTTTTCAAAAAAACTTGCGCCCTTTCTGATCTGTATCTAAACCAAACACTTCAATGTAAAATGATTTCCTTTAAGTTTGTAAACAGACAACTTTTAATTTACTGCCCTGTTTGCTTACAAATAAACTTTTGAACTGTGTTACTATTAAGTTCTTCTTTAAAATATCACACTGCAGATTAAATAACCCATAAATCTTACCAAAAACCAGACAAAGAGACTAAAGCATGACTGCCACTCACCTAAGTTACCTGGAATATTTTATTTTACAGACCAGCATATATAATATGTACTGCTGTATTGTACATCCTTGAGGCTTTGCAGGTATTGTGTACTTTTATATACATATTGACATATACAGTAGTCACATTTTGCTTTCAACGTCTTCAGCACTACCATCAGAATGTAGTTGAAAATGTCACTTCTGCACTTTTTTTTTCTTTTGTACAAAATAACCTTATGCACTTATATACATTTTTCTGAACCAGTTTTAATGGCCATCCTCTTCGCATATGCATATTAGCTGAAAACTTACATTCCTAATTAGTGTTAGAAATTAAGGCTGGACTGTCTGCCCGGGGCTGACAACTTTCAGAACAGGCTGAGAAGTTTTCCCACTTGGCAGACATTCAGTCCAGCTACTTTTCAAGATGGCTGGACTTTCGGTCCAGCAACTTATTTTCCTAAGAGGCAAACACCGTGAATCCTAATAAATAAATAAATAAATAAATAAATAAAATAAAATAAAAATAAAAGCCATATGTTTTCAACTCTTTTTTACAATTTCGTCATTCCTTCAGGGTACTTTTACCTCCTTTCCCTTACAGAAAAGGATGTTTTATTCTGCCACGTTTCATTTGTTATTTTTGTCATCTTCCTCATTCATCGTTTTTCTCCTCGTCCTGGTCCCCTGTGGCCTCCTCATCCTCCTGGAGCATGGCATCCTCATCTATTTCTTCTTCTTCTTCCTCCTCCTCCTCAGCTGCCTCCTCACCATTGGTGTCCTCCTCAGCCACATCCTCACCTGAAAGTCACAACAGGGGCTACCTTCACAAAAGAACTATAACTTAGAAGGCGCACAATGAGTGTTAGGCCTCTACTGAGGAAAAAAAAAAAAAAAAAAAACAGAAAATTTCATTTTTTCTCCTTAATAACCAATGGACCTCACATGCAAAATTGTTGATAAAATTATTCCTCAGTTTTTGAGTTAATTTTTTTTTGTTTGTTTTTAGGTCACATTCATGATAGAGAAAGATAAAGGTGAGTTTCTTGACACCTTCCTCAGGAAATCAATTTGCAGGTGTTACTGTTTCCTCTACCTGCAGTTAGCGTCCCCTCCCCCCACTCTCCTATTTTTTGCTATTGGGTTAACTATCTTAGTAACTGAAATCAGCCGAAAACTATGGTCTGCATCATGCTTTATTCCATGTAGAGTCACAACGTGCAGGAAAACGCAGGGCAGACAAAATGTGGCACAGCATACAGTTTTCTTCTCAAGCAATGGTTAAGTCTAATTAAAGTACTCATAGCAATTTTTTTACCTAATACTGAGTGCATAAAAACAGCAGATCAAATTCTTATACAAAGTCCAATTTGAAGTTCAGGTTCATTTACCTTCTTTCCTTGACTCCTCTTTCTCTTTGCTATTCCCAGCCTGTGTATATGAAAACACCATTATTTACTCTTTCTCAAATCATATTTACAAATAAAGAAATAAATATAAACATTATAATTCATGCATCAGCATGTACTGCCAAAAATGTATAGTCCGATTTGTATATATATAATGATGTATGTGCACAATATGATAAAAGACTACACCAGGATCTTAACATCATGACAATATTTACAAGAGCCTTTATATTCTTGAACAGCACAACAAACATAATTCAAATCAAAATCACTGAGAGCAATTTTCCAAGTCTTGCTGATACTAAACCAACTGGAAAAATATCATATCTTTGTTATTATGAAAATCAAATCCCTTCACAACTTCAGCTTCATAAATCACTTCTCAGTCAACCAATCAGTTATTTGAGCAATTGTTCAAATGATAAATAACAAACTAACAAGGTACTATGAAATTCTTTTTTTAAACATCAAATTCATGTGAACTGCTCTAAATGAGAAATATAAAAATACACAAACCTCTGTTGTTTCCGTGCCGTTGGTGTCGGCCTCTGCTGCTTTCTTAATGGCACTCTGGAATGTTTAGAGTCGATAAATTAAAGGGATAATAACTCTTCGTATGAGATCTATATTTCACAATAAAAACATTGTGAATAACTCATAGAAATATAATATATGCTGTTTTACTACAAAAACGGCAGCTATAGCTATTATTCTGATATCTGAACTTGTCTTTAGACCACGTGACCTCCATTGATGGCTATACTCTGTTATAAAATCTCTTAAGAGATTTTAACAAAAAAACAAACTTTTTAGAAAAAAACCGAGGGCCAACTTTGAATGTAAAAATGGATTCATTAACCATTGGTAAGTATGGGAAAATTGTTGTTTATTCCAGGAAAATTCATTTTTTGGCCAAAACGAAGAGTTATTATCCCTTTAAGCCCAATGATTGGTAGCGATTTGTCATTACCAAAGAAAGTTATTACCAAGATCAAGCTTAAATTATTTTAGTACCATTTCCAGTCCTGTACTCTTACTGATAACACTGTTTTCTTTCAAATTGCCTATACCATGATAACAATAAGTAAATATAGTTTACATAGAATATTAAAGTCAAAAGTTTCTAATAAACACAAATATTTCTAATTCTTCGAAATGTCAAATCTATCCAAAATGCATAAAAACTGTGTATGTATTTCAGTTGTAGCGCTCTAGATCTGCATATGGCAAAGTTTTACCTGTTCTTGGATTGGTGGTACAAATATGGACATGTTGTGTTCGGTTTGGCAGTGGTTACATAACTCCCAGCTAGTGGGGAACACTTTCTTACAGGTAGCACATGACACCACAGCTGGTTCACCATCTGCAGGAAAAAAAGCATATCTTTTGAAATAATGGCCCAATCTTTTCGAATTTGACCTGTATTTTATGAATATTCATCAGTTCCATGAGTTTGAAGACAAAAGCCGAAATGTTCTTCCACTGATCGTGTTATCACTGAAAGTGCATGGCAACAACGACAACAGCAACATCTGTGTCTGCACATAAAAAACATCAATGAAAAGCAGGAATTCCAAAAACCCTGACAATATTTCAGAAAAAGAAAATAAATAATTAAGAATGTTTAAATATTATACTAAAACAGTACAAACATCACTACCAGCAGTGTATGAAATTCAAGGAAATTACTAGCCAGACCGCCGGGCAGGTAACTCTGAAAAGTTACCAGCCCGGCCATGTAGTTACCTGCCCTAGTTATGATAAGTTAAGAGAGGTATGCTGAGGGGGTCTAGAATGCATTCTGGGGAGAGTAATTTGGAAATGAAAGGGCAATATCATGCCTTATGCATGGAAATTTAGAAATTGGTTGGAATTTCTACTGAATGATACCTTGTCAGTGTTGGATTTAGAGGGGGGTCANGTTTTTGGGTCACATTCATGATAGAGACAGATAAAGGCGAGTTTCTTGACACCTTCCTCAGAAATCAGTTTGCAGGTGTTACTGTTTCCTCTACCCGCAGTTAGCGTCCCCTCCCCCCAACTCTCCTATTTTTTTGCTATTGGGTGAACTATCATAGTAACTGAAATCAGCCGAAAACTATGGTCTGCGTCGTGCTTTATTCCATGTAGAGTCACAACATGCAGGAAAACGCAGGGCAGACAGAATGTGGCACAACATACAATTTTCTGCTCAAGCAATGGTTAAGTCTAATTAAAGTACTCATAGCAATTTTTTTACCTAATACTGAGTGCATAAAAACAGCAGATCAAATTCTTATACAAAGTCCAATTTAAAGTTCAGGTTCATTTACCTTCTTTCCTTGACTCCTCTTTCTCTTTGCTATTCCCAGCCTGTGTATATGAAAACACCATTATTTACTCTCTCTCAAATCATATTTACAAATAAAGGAATAAATATAAACATTGTAATTCATGCATCAGCATGTACTGCCAAAAATGTATAGTCTGATTTGTATATATATAATGAGGTATGTGCACAATATAATAAAAGACTACACCAGGATCTTAACATCATGACAATATTTACAAGAGCCTTTATATTCTTGAACAGCACAACAAACATCATTCAAATCAAAATCACTGAGAGCAATTTTCCAAGTCTTGCTGATACTAAACCAACTGGAAAAATATCATATCTTTGTTATTATGAAAATCAAATCCCTTCACAACTTCAGCTTCATAAATCACTTCTCAGTCAACCAATCAGTTATTTGAGCAATTGTTCAAATGATAAATAACAAACTAACAAGGTACTTTGAAATTCTTTTTTTAAACATCAAATTCATGTGAACTGCTCTAAATGAGAAATATAAAAATACACAAACCTCTGTTGTTTCTGTGCCGTTGGTGTCGGCCTCTGCTGCTTTCNCCAAATAGCACACCAGAGGGGGTGACAGGTTGTCATACCTGTCACAACCTCATTCCCTGATGAAATCTGACTGCAAGCAGATGAAATATTGGATGGTAAGATCAAACTAATATAAATAGCTATAGACAAAAGAATCTTCACAAGTCTATTATAATAACATAGCTAATGAAACTGTTCTAAACTAACAAGGTACTTTGAAATTCTTTTTTTAAACATCAAATTCATGTGAACTGCTCTAAATGAGAAATATAAAAATACACAAACCTCTGTTGTTTCTGTGCCGTTGGTGTCGGCCTCTGCTGCTTTCTTAATGGCACTCTGGAATGTTTAGAGTCGATAAATTAAACCCACTGATTGGTAGCGATTTGTCTTCACCAAAGCAAGTTATTACCAAGATCAAGCTTTAAACAATTTAGTACCATTTTCAGTCCTGTACTCTTACTGATAACACTGTTTTCTTTCAAATTGCCTATACCATTTATAACGATAAGTAAATAAAGTTTACCTAGAATATTAAAGTCCAATGTTTCTAATAAATGCAAATATTTCTAATTCTTCGAAATGTCAAATCTATCCAAAATGCATAAAAACCGTGTATGTATTTCAGTTGTAGCGCTCTAGATCTGCATATGGCAAAGTTTTACCTGTTCTTGGATTGGTGGTACAAATATGGACATGTTGTGTTCGGTTTGGCAGTGGTTACATAACTCCCAGCTAGTGGGGAACACTTTCTTACAGGTAGCACATGACACCACAGCTGGTTCACCATCTGAGGGGAAAAAAAGCATATCTTTTGCAATAATGGCCCAATCCTTCGAACTCGACCTGTATTTTATGAATATTCATCAGTTCCATGAGTTTGAAGACAAAAGCCGAAATGTTCTTCCACTGATCGTGTTATCACTGAAAGTGCATGGCAACAACGACAACATCAACATCTGTGTCTGCACATAAAAAACATCAATGAAAAGCAGGAATTCCAATAACCCTGACAATATTTCAGAAAAAGAAAATAAATAATTAAGAATGTTAAAATATTATACTAAAACAGTACAAACATCACTACCAGACCCAAGAAAAGTAACTCTGAGAACAAAGAACTCATCCAAAATGGCATGAGAGGTTTCGTGTTTAAAATTTCCCAAAGTTCACTTGTCCATGTTTTCACCAATAGAAGGAAAACCATACGGTCAGGGTTTCCAAGCTTGAAGGGATAACAACTCTTTGTATGAGATTCAAAAATTCCACATTCAATAAATTTTTAACAAGATGTTAACAAGACGTGAAAATGTAATAAATTGTATTTTACCACCAAAATTGCAGTTAATCGTTATATCTGGCTATCACGAGACGGTGGAATGTCATTGATTGCTACCCTCTGTAATAATCTCTGAACAGATTATTACTAAAACATACTCTTAAAAAAAATTAGATTACATTTAAAGTCTCTGTATGGGAAAATTACCTTTCCTTCAAGATAATTCACTTTATGGCACTTTTCCAGCCAAAAAGAAGAGTTGTTATCCCTTTGAGATATGTAGCCGAAATAAGTGGTCCCCTGAAAATCCTATCCAGTACTTATCAATTTCTTTTCTTACCAGGTCTCTTGCATTTACACAGGAACTTCAGTTGACATGTCCGCCGTTTGTGGAGTGCCAGCTCCTCAAAGTCTGTGAAGATCCACTTGCAGTTCCCACAAATCAAGATGTCTGGACTGTCTGAAGAAAAAATACAGAACGGATCACAAGTGTAGAACAAAAAATTGACAGACGATCAGAGCAAAGCAGATATTTTTTAAAAAGACAATTAACACAAAAATCTTTTTAAAAATTCTGCCTGAAAATGTTACAGAAATCTGCATCAAATCTATACCATGAAATATTACTATTTAAAATTATGTAGGAAGAGTTCATACAACGTGATATGAGTAGCAAGAAAAGATTAAACTTAATGGTTTCTAAAAAGACTTAACAAATATGAGGCATTAAGTTCACAGCCTCCATCCCTCAACCACTTGCTACATGAACTCATTAACACTAAGAAAAAAGGTCAAGTCTCACAGGTTCCCCAATAAACCACATGTTTAACCTCTGTAAAAACATTTTGTTTTACCAGCCTAACATGAAATGAATAACATTATCTGGACACTTAGACCCCCCCCCCCCCCCCCCCAAACACAGACACACACACTACACACACATCTTCCTACCATATTTCTGCACTGGTCCTTTGGGCTGTGTGCTGGCAGGCTTCCCGCCCCTGCCCTTGGGGATATTGCTGACCAGTGACACCAGGTTTCTCTTGTTAATGGACCCCATGGGGTGGGCCATCCCTGGACGCTGTTTTTTCATGGGAGGGCCTCCTCCTCCANTAATTAACACTAAGATAAAGGGTCAATTCTCACAGGTTCCACAATAAACCATCAGCAGTAGTTATGTGTGTATGTATGTGCGTGTGTGAGAGAAGTAAGCGAGGGGTAACAAAGACGTATTGTATACTGTAATTTACATTTCTTAAGTTCAATAAAAAAAAAAGAGGGTCAAGTCTCACAGGTTCCACAATAAACCACATGTTTAGCCCCTTTAAAAACAATTTTACTTTTTACCACCCAAACATGAAATGAATGACATTATAAATCTGGACACTTAGACCCCCCCCACACACACGCACACACTCATACATCCCCCTACCATATTTCTGCACTGGTCCTTTGGGCTGTGTGCTGGCAGGCTTCCCGCCCCTGCCCTTGGGGATATTGCTGACCAGTGACACCAGGTTTCTCTTGTTAATGGACCCCATGGGGTGGGCCATCCCTGGACGCTGTTTTTTCATGGGAGGGCCTCCTCCTCCTCCACCCCCTCCCATTGGCCCCCGTCCTGGCCCTCCTTGACCCCCACCCTGAGACCTGAAGCACAGATGTTGATAACATTTTTAATTTTTTTAAATTTTACATTGAAATAAAAAAAAGAAAAATAAAAAAAGGACTAGGTGACTGCATCAGAATGGATCATGGTCTTCACTTTCAGACAAAAGTTCTTGGTCTGCTTTTAGTCCAAGAGCCTGCTTCACAAATAGTCTGAGAGCCTGCTTCACAAATAGTCCAAGAGCCTGCTTCACAAACAGTCCAAGAGCCTGCTTCACAAAGTCTGAGAGCTTTTAGCCTTAGCTTAAACTGCTTAACTTGGATAATCAAACGTGTGGAGTCAAGTTTGCAATAGTGGTGTTAGAGCATTTCACAACTGGCTCCCCATAAATGTATTAAATATATCCACATGGAATAATATCACCCCCGTGAGCATTAATCATTGTTAAGGCAATTTCAATCCACTCTGGGGACTTGGTTAAAAACAAAGGTTAAGGACTCATTAGATTCTCCGAGAAACATATCCTTGTTATCAATATTCAGTTAACCTTTTGTACAATAGGTCTTGGATAAATAGCACCCTGAATTCTAGTAACTGCCTGATTGAAACACTGACCATTATCCTTTTTAAGAAATTAGGTCTAACATTTTATTCCCAGCAATGAAAATATCTATTCCCTACACTTCAACTTTAGTTTAAAAATTTAATCAAAAATAATGACAGTGAAGCTTTACATGCATCATAATACAGAAATTTTTAAAGCCTATAAAATTTCTTTAAATATCTCCAGTGGCACCACCTACCAGTTATTTCCAGAAGGCCCTGCATTATGTGGTCGCTTAGCACCTCTTTTATGTTGCTTTGGTTCTGAGACAAGGTTTATATCTGTCAAATAAAGCAGTGCATGTTAAGTATGGGTATGGGTTAAAAAAAAAAAACATGTATAGTTGCACAAAACACTAAAACTTGGAATGCCTTATGTGCCATTAAAATAAAATTCAAATCCAAGTTAAATAACATTTGACCACAGACAGTTTGCAGAAAAGCATGTTACCAAGGCAACTTAGCTCACCTAAAGTCTGGCCGGCGTATACCATCCCGTCCTCTCCGTGTACTGAATTCCGAGCATCAAACTCATTGTAATACTGTACAAAGGCGTAGCCCTTATGCATGGAGATCCCAGCCACTGGCCCATAGCAGGCAAATATATTCTCCACATCTTCCTTCTTCACCTGAAATGTGTTAAGGTTGCCGACAAAGACGCGGCAGTTCACCCAGCGTGGGTCCGACGAGTTGGTAACATTGCTTATTTTAGCAGTGTTCATAGTGTTACAGCTCCGTTTTTCCTAGCATACCACAGGTATTCCTGAAGCAAAAGGTATGCCATCATCAACAGGTGATACAGGTAATATAAGGTGATGTATATTTACTGTCTTTAGACAACGGAAACAGTTTGGACAATGTATGATTTATTAGTCAATACAATAGTTTATATTTTTCACTAATTTAATTTATCAATTTTATTTATCTTATTCTTATCAAGTGAATATAACAATTTATATAGTTGTACAATCTGGCTACTGGTATTTTGGTTGCAAATGAACATTATTATTATTATTTATTATATAATGAGTATGAAGTAACAAGTTACAATATTGACAATCAGGCATTTTAGATATTATAATATGCATATAATGATTGGAATATAGTACTGCATTTAGGCAATTATCAGACATAATGCACTTGGGATATTCCAGAAGAATTTCAAGAGAGAGAGAGAGAGAGAGAGAGAGAGAGAGAGAGAGAGAGAGAGAGAGAGAGAGAGGCCAAGTTTCCTAAAGAAGAGCATATTTGTGTTCAGAAAGTCATAATAAGGAGGAATATCAAATTATTTTTTCAGAATTAATGCAATCTATAATAGGTATATCACAATGCACCAGGGGCGCTACAGTAACCACTGCAGTGCTGGCAAAACTGTGACTGGCCTGATCACAGGTCGCACATATGACATCCCTTTCAAATCTCTCTTTTAGCAATGTGTAATTTATACCATTTATAAGCTCAGGTAATTTGCAATCTAATGAAAAAAAAACATGAAAATTGAATGATGAGAAGTATAGTTAATATGATGCGCTAGCTGGTCAGTGGTCAGAGGTTTTTGGCTGAAAAGTTAGGACACTGGGTGTAATATAGCAGTTAAAAAAACTTCAATATCTTTGTTACTTGTAGGATTATTTTAAAAATTTCAAAAGAATTGCAATCTGTTTTGCATTACCTTTAAGAAGATATAAATATTATATTTTTCTGATCAGTTTGAATTTTTTCTGATATACCTATATATATAGATCTATAACCCTCGATTGTGTCTCCTATTCTCCGTCTATCCCATGCATAAATACAAGCTGTGTGCCACCCTCCTCTGTCAATATATCGGTCTATTATATATCTACTGAACTGCTTAATCGAATTTCATAATCAAACTAAATGACTGATGTAGAAAACAGATCGTGTTGTGTTAACTGAGACTTAATATCTTTCGCAATCGAGAGCGTCATTCAACTTGGAATCTGTTGTTCAGGTTACACAAAAAGCAACAGCTCGTCAAAATTTTAACATCATAAAATAGTTCGTTTCTAGTAAAATTCTGCAACATCATAGTCATAGTACATACAGATTACATGTACACGAAATGGAAAATCGCTTATATGCCTTTGTTTAGACAAAGTAGACGTACACACGCAGCATGCAAAACGAACTTACAAAAAATTAAACTTAAGCAAATTACTGTAATCAAGCCTAAAAATTCAGATGAATGCTGACTATGAATGACATTATTTTAAAACATGCCTGAATGCAACCAACCTTGCTTGAAAAGTTTGCACTTCACACACGTGCAATATGGCGGACAGTTGCTTCAGACTAGTCCCGCACTTTTATCAAAACATGAAGAAAATACCAATTTATTTTTAGTTTTAACCACCAAAAATTTAGTAAGTAGAAAAAAGTTTAATCTAATTGAATAATTCAGGTAAAATTAATTTCATAACTTTAAAGAATAGGTTTCTGCGGAACATATCTGATGCTGGTGACTGAAAACGTGACCCCCGAAGGACACAGACACCTTCGGCAGCTAACTTTCCTCTTTTTTTACTTATCCAAATAGTTCCAGAAGTTGCAGTGGAAATTACATAGCTGTGAAAGTACGGATGGTGCTTTTCAGGTAAGGGAAATACTCCCTTGGAACTTTCTAACTTGTTGTTTATAATAGCACTGCGGCAGAATTACGAAACACCGTTGTGTAACTAATGTTATAACGTCGACGAAGGCATGTTATGAACATAAGTCGTGCACTACTACGTAGTACTATTGATACTTGGCTCACAGTTTTTTTGATGACTGTTTTATGTCTTGGCTTTAATTTTTTTCAATCTATTTTCAGCCATGAATCGATTTGCAAAGGAACTCACCAAAGTGAAGGAGAAAGTTACCCGCCAGAAGGTGATGCCCCTTCCAAACAAACTGCCAACTTTCATAAATTACAAACCAACTCAGAGACTCACTGGCCGGAAACCTAAAGTGATCATGAAACTGGATCCACTGTCTCAGAACCACAAAAAGACATTGATGGATAATATCTTCCAAAATCTTGCTATTAAACGACAAAGAGTCGTGACAAGCACAAAGGCATTTGTGCAGAACGTATCACAGAAAACATTTGGCAAGTACCTGTTGCTGACCAATACCACAGTGACGGTGTCCCTCTCTGGGGCTGGAGACTACATGCAGCAGATTTATCAGATCAAAAAAGGTACTCACAAACAGTGGGACAAGGCACGAACGTTGAAACTTTCCTTGACTGGCATAACCATAGGTCCTGCCTGCCATTACTGGTACCTGTACTTGGACAAATGGTTTCCTGGAAAAACTCTTTCGGTTCTAGTGAAGAAAATTCTCTGTGATCAGATACTGTTCTCTCCAGTCTGCATTACCCTCTTTTTCCTCAGCTTCGGCTTGTTCAGTGGCCACAGTTTGTTGAAGATCAAAGATGAGTTGTATTGGAAAGGGACCCATCTGTTTGTGGTGGATATGCTTGTGTGGCCTGTGGCACAGTTCGTTAACTTTAAATTCTTGCCAACAAAGTTCAGGGTGATCTACGACAACACGATATCTCTGCTTTATGACTGCTACTACTCATATGTCACTTACTATAGCAAAGAGGGGAATGAGGAGAAAAAGGGGGAGGAACACATACGCAAAAGTTTACCTTAAATAATCTTGGTTCTACAGAAAATCTACCAGATGGATCAGGATCCTGATATATAATGTGTTAAGTTTGAAACCATTGATGAACTTTGGTACAGCAGTTCAGGTATCTGGTCACTGGGTTTTCTGTGACATTGACCTTAATTGTTTGCAGTCTTAAACTTATTATATTTATTATACCATTAGGTTAATGTATGGATAGTGCCAGTACAGGTTCATACCAAAGTATACACTGGAACCTACAAATACCAGAGGGTAAGAGATACATAATAAAACATGTGCTTCATTTTAGAATGACTTCAAAGTAAGTGTTAGATAAAGATATTAAAGATACATATGGTATATGAACAAGTAACTACTAACTGTCTCTAGTATGTTGTCTGCATGACCAAAGATGATGCTCAGGTTACAGGTTATTATTTTAAAGCAACTCAGAATATGCAAGGTTAGTAATTTGATTCTTTCAATACATATGCTAGAAAAGCACTTCGGCTGTGTAGTGTTAAGATGCCTTTTCGCCTGATCTTTGTGAAGTGTCACTTCTGTGTATACGTAACCCCAGTTTTAATGCTCTTAAAAGTTTATGGATTTGAATAACATATTGATACCTAAATCTGAAAGAGAAAAGCTTCCTGTTCAAAGCATGCATGTTGTAGTGCTGCTCCGGGCCTCCGGCATGAATGTCATTGACAGTATTCGTTGGAGTATTTATTTATTAAATATTTCATTTTTTGTTTCAAGGAATTTTAATGAGGGCAAGTGACTGCCACACACATTCTTGGTGAACTTTTATTTTCTAAATGTTGTCAGTTTCTCAGTGAAGTACCAGTGAGACGGCATGACCAGACTTTACACAGTTGGTTTTCTTTGATAATTTGGTTTTGTGGGATACATTTACCAATGATGTTGGAAGAGCCGTTGCTAAAGTAAACACTGAGAGATATTTTGTGCCATATAATTTATTAAAATATGTTAAAATAATTAAATAACTAAAATATGTGTAAATTGGTTTGTTGGTTTGTTTTTAGATATGAACAGTCAACCTTTCAACCAAGTGATATTTTTAAAGAAAAGAGTTGAAAAAATATATGTTTATGCACCGTTGAATGTACAATTTTCTTGTATTTGAAAAGGATATTATAAGTTGAAATAGAGACAGTTTTTTTCTTTTTAAAGGTGCATACAAAGTCAATTTTTTGTCACAAAAACCAACCAAATGCCAGCATATAGTTTCAAGTAGTATAACTAAAAGAATTACTAAAAGGCATTGTTTAATTTTACCCGAAAATGATGTTTGAATGGATTTTTCTTGTAGCATTTTATGCTGTATGTCAATTGGGCAGAAAAGTAGGTCACGAAAGTAGGTTTAATTTTCGACCAAAAATTAAAAAAAGGAGCAGTCCAAAGTTCTTATATGGCTGATTGAGTGATCTATTCAGTTTATCCCTTGGCATGTTGAATTTATTTGAGTCATATAAACTAGTAGAAGTGGTTTACATGTCTTACTTGGAAATCACGCTTCACCAATGCTCGGTTCGTATGTACCTTTAAAATAAAGAGAGCTTGGTTATTTATATGAACTGTCATTGTTATACTTACTTTAATTCGTCAAATATAAATAGTAAAGAAACGATTTACCACTGTTGAATCCAGAGTTTTACTGAGGTGTGTGTGTTGGGAGGGGGGGGGGGGGGGGGGGGGGGGGGGGGGGTGAGCAGGAGTGTCAAGTTGAATTTTTTTGCTCTTTCACAGAAATATCAGCAAACCATAGACTATGGTAATTTTACAATAGATGTTGGACATGTGTATGTGAGGTTTGTGTGGTTGTGTCGAGTTGCGTTGGATATGTTCTGCCTACAGTGTCCTCCTGCTTTTGATATCAAGGGCATCTAAATTAAAGTAACAGATTTCTAGCAGACTCTGTGGTCAGAGAATAGTGATTTCCCATGTTTACTGCTGCGAAAAAAGTCCATCTAAGACCCATTCTTACAAAGAGTCCTTGATCTGAAGTTTGTCTTACACTACAAATTTGGTGTTCGAGTGCTTAATTCAGTTCAAGATACATTCAGTGATTCAAGTATAAAAAATTTAAATGTTGGTCTGTACCATACATGACAAGATTACTTGAACCTTAATTGGGAACGGCATAAACATGCTAATAACTTTGTTAAAGAGAGTCAACGCGAGTTAGCATTGATTTTCAATATATAGGTCTATTTAACACATTAATTTTATTTAAAATAAGCCAGAGGAGGAATTTTTTTGTCCAAATGGAATTTTACTTACATTAGTCTAGTAACTTAAATCACTGAAAAAAATAATTACTACTTGAAGATACATCTGTTCTTACACAAAAACATAAACGGACTAAATTTTACTGTTGCTCGCGGCACCATTTGCGTGATTTCATATTCTCCAATCTACCTAGTTTTAATTTATTGAAGTAGAAAGTTTGCAGCTTGTCAGGAAGCCAGTATGTTGTGTAACGCCTCCGAAAATGGAAAATGTCTATAATGTTTTATTTAAATAACGCAATTAATGCCTTTATACTACTTTCGCGGTGTCGCCCGGCTTTTAAAAATAGAAAAAAAAAAAGAACTTGACGTTTTTTGGCGTAGATCATCACATAAAATTGTTTGATGTATATGTAATATTTAAGTCTTTAATATAATTTAGGTCAGTGACATCCATGATTAGAGAAACGATATTGTGACGGGGAACAGGCGAATGTCTAACACGAAACGCGGCGAAACTGCATTCTTGTAGAAAGTAATTTGTAAAGACTTCGTTACCAAGCATCGTGAAAATTTACATTCTTGAGGTCGAGGACAAAATGTATAAGTAAAATTAACATGCATCTCATAATACCCCTTTAGAATATATCTTTAACTGCATTTTTCTGTTTTCTTCAAATGGGTTTTTAAATTGAGAATTTCTGTGTCCATTGCATACGGAAAGGTTTGAAGCATAATATTAATCACATTTTTGTCTCAGGATATCGTTTTTGATTACTTATACTAATTCCCGTTGAAACTGGGCTGTTTGAACCTACGGAATAAAAAATTAGGCAAGGAACATTATGTATCTGTATCTCTTCGTTTTATTTGTCCAAGGGCGTGTGTAGATAATAGAGCAAAATAATAATAATAAAATAAAATAAAATAAAGCTTTATATCCGTAGAGTATTTTTGCAGTCGCGAAAATGGAGGACTTTACTAGTCGTTGACTTTCTTTTGCACCAAATATGTATGTCATACTTTTTCTCACACCTCAATTTTGCATATATCATTCTGGGCGCAATGCTATGTAGATAGAATTTCAAATGACTTTCTGGGCCATTGTGTGTCGTTATCCATCATGATCCATGCTACCTGTATACACTGTTAAATTTGAAAGACACATGTCGTCGTCTGCTGTCATGCGTGACCTACCGCACTTTTTTTTCCCAAGGTCATCCCGGGCAAGGGTGGCAGGAAAGCCCCGTTTACACACTAAACGTCGCAAAAACACGCCGCAAACTACGCCGAAAAGTTTAAACAAAACTATATCTACGCGAGGAAAGCAAGTTTGTCTTTTCATACAATCCGTAGAAGTGTCTTTTGAGTGAACAACTATTTTGTGCGACTCAATGCGTGCGCTCTCAAAACATAGAGTGTAAATGTGTCTTATTTAGTGACACAGAATTCGCTGTTTATGTGTTTACTACGATTACTGATGCGTTGATCGCTCCACCTGTAATACCTGAAGGAGGTTTGTAATTTTTGTTGCTTGTGTGTTCCTCTGAGATCATGGAGGCTCAGCCGGCAGAGACAAGCAGCGTGAAGGGGTTAACAACTGAAACGTCTGCCTCCAGTACATGTAGGTATTCACAGGTATAATTTAAGGTAAAGTTTTTCTAGTACTGCATAAGTTTTCAAGTCTTAATAACTCAATACCCAGTTGTTCTTATGTATGTGTCTCGTGCTCGCCCTAATACGACAGGACGCGTAGGGGATATGGTGATGTGATAGTACGTAGTACGTGCACATGTAGCATGCATCTACCCAGTTCGTTTGATACATGAGGCGTTAAAATCAGACGTGTTTTTATTTTATGTAACGGCCTTGTTTTTGTGACAGCGACTGAACAATTCCGCGTACCTACACTCTATTATATTCCATCTAAATTTAGATACGGTCAGTTAATATTCAGGACATGAGTAAAGACAGTCATCGAGCAAAAGCAGTCTATGGATCTATAGAAAAACGAACCTTTTTCCTTTGTCAATAAAAAAACTTGTTTTCTAGCACCAAAAGTGTTGATAATAGCTGCAGTGGTATGCGGACTGATTGCGATGGTTGCGATCATCATTGCGGCGTTTGCGCTGTCAAAACAATCTTCCCCTAGTATTACGATCCAAGGCAAGCAAAGAACCTTACAGGCGCCGGCCGCACAAAGCTCGTCTGTTGGTGGAAGTCAGAATACAAATGTTAACACGAAACTTGCCGACAGTAACCGTATTTGGTTGGTGGCTACTGGGCACGGTTCTGGTGCCTATGGATATATGTAAGGTTCCATGACAACGTGTTGTTAGTATCATAATACATATAGATAATATTTTATGCCTTTAAAAGCATTGGATAAAAAGTTATAACAATTGGTTTAATATCTATTACTAATGTGTTAAACATAATTTTAATTTTTTTTCAATGAATAATAACTAAATTTTATGACCTTTAATTCTTTGCTTTTATAAACATATTTCTTCATGCATTACTGTTTTACTATGCTATTTATATATCTTAAGTCTATGATTTTCAGTGACAACGACGGTTTCTTGGCGGGCGCTTACACGGACATCATCGACGCTGGTACGTAAATGAATTTCCGATTTTCACTACACTCCTTTAAAAAGCTCAAGAATTAAAAGCCCAAAGGCAAAAACATTTCATAGATCTTAACTTTGTTAATCGAATAGATTTGGTATACTTTGGAGAATAGAAGAAAAATGTTGTAATTTTCAGGAAAACTAAGTATATACAATGCGCTGATTGCATGGCTTTAAGGTAAGACGTCACAACTTCAGTGCAAAAGAGGCTTAAAAGCATGTTTTCTGTTCCAGTATGCACGGAGGCGGGAATGGACTGTCGTATCGTTTGGGACAAGTATTCGAACTGTTATTTTTCAGAGCCTGGGCAGCATTCATTTGGGGGAAGAGGTAGGCACACTGTAATACGAGCCTATATCATATTTTTTGACGTTCTCTGTCTTTGTTAGATCTTGAGAGGGAGGGGTACGATGGGGGCATTTTACAAGTTAAATTTACATGTATGTCTGCAGTAGCCAAAAGTTTTAACGATAATCTGTATTTGCAGCGAAAACTTGTCCCCCCCCCCCCCCAAAAAAAAAAAAAAAAAAAAAATTCCACATAAATGCTTGATTTTATTTCAACTTTTTTGCTAAGTTTATCGTTCATGCTAACGAAATCATGCTTTTCTTGGGCTTAAAAACGTTTCACAGAAATAATTTTTGAAAGCAAGTAAGAATGGTTAATAATTAGCCAATCACAATTCATGATTCTAGGTCTTCATGGTCGCTGGTATGATGCATGCACGGGATGGTATGCAACCGTAGAACGCAAACACATATTTGCCTTCTCGAAACCTTTCTTCAAACCAACGCTTGGATATTTCTGGGTCAAACTCGGAAACCCCGGGAATTTCAACCACAATGATATCACAGGAAAGAAAATAGGTAGGTAGGCGTTACTGAATAGATGCAGTTCGTGGTAAAATTATCAGTATTGTTCAGGGGCGGATTTAGAGTCCTGCCCTCCCCCCCCCTTCGAATGCTGAAAAAAAAGCACACCAATGATGCCCGCTTGAAATTATAATTATCACTAGCTGAATCATTGTTCTAAACCGTACCAAATGGCACTGTTCGCCCTTTAAAATACCAATTTTTCGGGGCCCTTAAGCGGCTCCCTAACCCCACGCCAAGGGGGGGGGGGTCGGCTTTGCATCCGTGCCCCCCCCCCCCCCTTCAAATAATCCTGGAACCGCCCCTTTTGTTTGTTAGACATATGCACTCTGAATCGGATCATTTATAGAAACAACAGGATTATGCGGGGTGGGGGTAGGGGCTATTGTTCGCATGGTCTGACAAGTAAGAAATAATAGATGAAGATACATGAAGTTTTACTATGAAACTACCCTGAGCTATGTACGGAGCAGAGGTGGAAATTGCTTTATATTGTTTATTTTATTGTTTGTTTTTTGAACTTATTTTTGGGAGGGAGAAGGGAAAGATGGCGGTGCATGTTCTCGTACCTTCGGAGCTGGATCCGCCACGTAAAAACTGACAACAATATTTAACTCGCTATAGCTCAGCTTGGTAAAATGTTGCGCAGACAAAATCTAACAGTTTAAACACCGCCTGGTCTCATTCTGAGTTAAAATTCATCTGAATCTGTCAAATATGTCCATATTATTTCAGGTTTTGTTGACGGATGGTTTACAAACGAAAAATGCATGGCTAGGTGGACAAGCGTGAAGGGAAGCCTCCTCCCTAAGTCTGGCATCGTTTACGTCGCTGACTACAACGAGATGTATCAAGCAATCCAAAACAATACGGTGAGAATCCATGTGGAAGACCTATTATTATTATTATTATTATTATTTTGAAGCAGCTAGGACAGGAGTTGGGCACGTGATTAGCAAACATTAATGGACATTTTTGTCAGTTTTGGATATCATTTCAAAATTTTCCAGTTTTTCATAAAATATTAAAAAACGTCTGTTAAGATACTTCATGGTATATTGCCACTTAATGCGATAAATCCCCCGATTTTACTGACGTCCTTCCGTGTGATCTGTATAGGTTGATGCCGGGTTCGTAGCTAGTGGCTCTGGTTTGCTTTCAAACGGAACCTTGACGAGACTATCCGACGGGTTTGGCTGCGCAACGACTGGGGCCGGGATGATGACTAGGAAAGACTCGGGCTTCAACAAGGCCTGGAATGTCGGCTTTGAGAAGCTAGTTGCCAGCGGAAGGTTTAAGAAACTGTGCGACGATGTACGGGAAAAACACAGTATGTAAAATTTGCTTTGTAAGAGGGGTTGGTTTTTAACTAAGGTGTAGAAAGGGGCGTGAAAAATGCATAATTATCTACTAGCAGATATTTGTTTGGGGGGGNGGGGGGGGGGGGGGTGGGTTGTAACCCCGGGGCCCCCCCCCCCCCCCCCCCGTCAAATAATCCTGGATCCGCCCCTTTTGTTTGTTAGACATATGGACTCTGAATCGGATCATTTATAGAACCAACAGGATTATGCGGGGTGGGGGTAGGGGCTATTGTTCGCATGGTCTGACAAGAAATAATAGACGAAGATACATGAAGTTTTACTATGAAACTACCCCAGTATGTACGGAGCAGAGGTGGAAATTGCTTTATATTGTTTAATTAGGATTCCCCATAGGGAAATACTATTGTTTTTGCTGTTCTTCTTCTTCTTCTTCTTCTTACTATTATTATTAGGATTCCCCATAGGGGAATACTATTGTTTTTGCTGTTCTTCTTCTTCTTCTTCTTCTTCTTATTTTTCGTCAAAAAATTACTTTCTAAAATTATGAAAAAATTCATACTGATAGCCCATAAAGAGGTTATTCCAGTCCACCTAATTTCATTGACCTTGACCTAATTTTTAAGGTCACAGAGCCTTTTAAAGTGAAAATTTTGCAAATTTCAAAATGCAATATCTCCTAGAATTTTCAACATTTTGACAAATCCTTTCATAGGTTAGGTCACACAATAATTCTATACCATGTGACCCAATTTTAGGAAAGTAGGTCAGGTCAAGGTCAACCTATTGCAAAATATGCTCCAGGTGGTTGACACTCGACAGGGGGTAAACCAGATGTCACAGAGCCACAAGGATGATGTAAAAAGTTGCCCTAGATATCTGTCTAGTGGAGTCACTACTAATATTGACAATTGACCGATTGGTTTTTTTTAATATAGATTTTTAAATATTAGTAATTTCACAGAAATAGTGACTTTGTCAATTTCTCCATGAAATGTTGACTTTTTGTGATAACATGCTATAGTAAACTACCCCAAACATATACCCAACACCCCCAAATCAAATGTCAAATTTGACCTTGACCTTCAATTTCAAGGTCATTTGGACATTTCAAGGTGACATATTCACTTGGGCTAAAAGTGATGTTTTGTTGACACCCCTTCCCCCCAATTCGCAGATGCTCTTTCAGAATATGGGATCAAATTAAACCCATGACCTTCACATGACCTTGCAAGAGCATTTCCACACGTATTTTGCAGGGGAATCCTCCGCCACTGGCTTTAGCCAGTTGCAGTCTAGTTTATTGTTTGTTTTTTGAACTTATTTTTGGGAGGGAGAAGGGGAAGATGGCGGTGCATGTTCTCGTACCTTCGGAGCTGGATCTGCCACTGAAAAACTGACAACAATATTCAACTAGCTATAGCTCAGCTTGGTAAAATGTTGCGCAGACAAAATCTAACAGTTTAAACACCGCCTGGTCTCATTCTGAGTTAAAATTAATCTGAATCTGTCAAATATGTCCCTTTTATTTCAGGTTTTGTTGACGGATGGTTTACAAACGAAAAATGCATGGCTAGGTGGACAAGCGTGAAGGGAAGCCTCCTCCCTAAGTCTGGCATCGTTTACGTCGCTGACTACAACGAGATGTATCAAGCAATCCAAAACAATACGGTGAGAATCCATGTGGAAGACCTATTATTATTATTATTATTATTATTATTATTATTATTATTATTTTGAAGCAGGACAGGAGTTGGGCACGTGATTAGCAAACATTAATGGACATTTTTGTCAGTTTTGGATATCATTTCAAAATTTTCCAGTTTTTCATAAAATATTAAAAAACGTCTGTTAAGATACTTCATGGTATATTGCCACTTAATGCGATAAATCCCCCGATTTTACTGACGTCCTTCCGTGTGATCTGTATAGGTTGATGCCGGGTTCGTAGCTAGTGGCTCTGGTTTGCTTTCAAACGGAACCTTGACGAGACTATCCGACGGTTTTGGCTGCGCAACGACTGGGGCCGGGATGATGACTAGGAAAGACTCGGGCTTCAACAAGGCCTGGAATGTCGGCTTTGAGAAGCTAGTTGCCAGCGGAAGGTTTAAGAAACTGTGCGACGATGTACGGGAAAAACACAGTATGTAAAATTTGCTTTGTAAGAGGGGTTGGTTTTTTTAACTAAAATGTAGAAAGGGGCGTGAAAAATGCATAATTATCTACTAGCAGATATTTGTTTGGGGGGGTCGGGGTGGGGGGTNGGGGATCCCCGGGAGAAGAGGGTACCTCGACCTGAACCTATCCAGGACTTGCCATTGCGAATGAACGCTTGAAACAGAGTAATGTAAACTAAGATACATAAACAACAGGCAACCATTTGGTTAACTGAGTATGGTTTGTAGGCATGTATTTTTCTGTGTAAGATATTCGTTATTTTACCTTACGACATGTTTGTTTCATGTTTGCTTCCTTCTTTCAGAGAACCTTGGTGAACTGTCGGATTGCACTGAAGCGTGAACGCCGCGCCAAAGCCTCAGATACAGTCATATCCTAGATTAAGATTTTTTACCAATGCGAGGACAAGCATAACGCATCATATAAGATGAGATGGTTTTGATAATTTATACTTACACATTAGAAAAAGAAAGTTAAGTTAGATATTTGTGTCATAACTTCAAGTATTGTTAACATGCTTCTACGATAAAATTAACTGTATTTTTTTAACAAGGAGATGGACATTAGATCATTTCAGACTATTCGGAATAATAAACAGGACGTATACGTGTACATAGTTACTAAAAAAATTAATTTAAAGATTAACAACTTTTTAGACATTTTATATGTGAATGTGGCCACATCATTTATTCAAAGTTCCCGTCGACATACCCATGCACTCATTACCAAAAATAGATTATTTATCTTAAAATTAAAATATGTCCCGGATTCAAGTATTTGCTGGCCTTCAGCTTAAATATTGCTAATTAATGAACGCATGTAAATTAAAAACTTTTATTTTCTAATTCAAGGTTGTCTTTGAAGATATCATGTGTGATATGTGTGATTTCAAAATAAATAAATATTGTGATATAAATGTGATTAAATAGCTCATTATTCACTGTAATTAAAAAACACAGGTACGGCCGTCACAAATTCGAGCCACGAAATTATTCTAACGGCGCTCTAAAATTAATTTCGGACTTCAGAATACAATGGTTCTCAAGCATGAAGCAAAAACATTTCTCCAGGGTTTTACTGTAAAAATCAGGTAGTTAAACTTGTCATACTTTCTCAGAGCTTTAAAGTAAATGTTCATGGTAAATTTCTGTACATGATTCCTTCTTGAATATGATTTATTCTGCTAAATCTAAGCCATTAAGGTATGACGGTAAGTTGAAAGTGACAAAACGAAATGACCATTTCAAAACGGCAGTCAAAACAAAATCAGAAAAGCTCTTGATGCTCCAAAATGTATCTGAAAACAACCCAAGCGGCATGGCCGATTCTGGACCACCACCCGCCGCCCCCGTGGTTGGCCTCGGTTGGCTGAGGAGTCGGGGGGTCACGTGAATCTGTTTGCTTCAGTGCCTCGGAGATCTCATCCGTGTTGACATCCGGGAAACAGCTCATCGGAGGCTCTTTGCTTTCCTGAAATATTGTCAATCAACTTAGATTTCTCTTTTTTTTTTAAAGAACGTATCTATTACTGTGTAACTCGAGAGCGAGTGTGGCCTTATGCTTTTTGTCACTCGCTAGTGAAGCCTATTTGGAGTGGATTAAAAAAATACAATGCGCCTATTAAATTGCTAATGGTTAAAAACCTATAATCTACTTCCATACTAAGCAATTTTAAACATGGATAAAAAACGACAAGCTAAAAATAACATTTTTGACCCTCATACTCACAGAAACAACCACGCAAACAAAACGTTAACTTACCTCAATGAGGCGTTCACTGCCGTCACTTTCTGTTTCATTGTTGTTCTTATCCATCTGAGATGCAGCATCTGGTTCGGGTCGGCCCTGTGGCTCCTGGATAATTGCAGAGGAAGCTGACTTTTGCATCTCTCTTTCGCTGTCCTTTGCTGCATCAGTGGAGCTTTCTAGCGCCTCTCTATAAGTTGTTCCTGACGCGTTTTGTTCTTCATCTTGTGTGTCCTCAATCTGCACCTTTTTCTTCTCCACGGCGGTCCCATCTTTCAGGTCCAGCAACGGTGCGTTATCCTCAAGTTTAGAAGGCAGGCGGGACTGCTTCTCTTTTACGGCCCTTGGCTCTTCTTTGATCACAGAGGGTGCTGATACCGTTGGTGCCGCCTCCTCCTCCTCCTCCTCGATCCGTCCTAAAGACAGGTCTGCCCACACGCCGGAATCGTTGCCTAGGTCATCGACTGGGTTGGCCCCGTCCTTGTCATCGTTGTCAGTAATACCAGAGGTGACATTTACATTTTGAAGGCTTTCGGTTTCATCGGGTAATGCTGCTTCTCCGCATTCTGCATCTTCCTCCTCCTCCTGCTCTCTAATAAGTCTCGCAATCTTGTCATTGTATTCCTCTGGTGGGATTGGATGGGAGAAACGAACTCGCATTTGACGGGCCTTTCTTACGTTGTTATCTAATAGAAAGACAATATATTCTAATAAATGCTGTAAAACGTACAAATAAATATGCCAGTTATAGACCGCATATGCTTCGATTACGATGGTCCTTTAATTTGTGGCTAAATAGTTTTATGATTATTAAACAGTGTATACGCCATTAATAACCAATATCAAAGCTTTTAAAAACCAATAAAAATAGCACGGAATAGTTATCAATCGCGTGTGAATACATCATTGGCTACTTCAGTAACCACTGGATGTTTTACCTAGACTGATCTTCCTCCTGGCCCAGTAGACCACCAAACCCTGGGCTATGGCACACACCACCCAGGCTACAACCACCAGCCCATCATGTATGGGATCACCATTGAAGCGGGGAAGACGTACGTAGACGTCATGGACTTTGTACGCAGCCTTCTTCAACACAGAATAGAGAAGTGCTGAAAATAAAGAAAGACAATGTTTCAATTTCTGTATGCGCCTAATAACGATATTTTTATAAAACGGTTTTAGAATTGAAGATATATTAGTTATGGAAAATTGATAAATTGAAAATATTTTGGTTAGTGTGTTTCAAAGCTTTGACAAATGAATTGTTTTATTCGTCCAAGTTCAAAGGGGGATATTCTTAACCTAAATTGTGTAGGTGATTTCAATTTTGTATGTTGTACCTACCTTTAGCCGCTTCGACGTCCAAGCCCTGATACAGGTAAGTTGTAATTTTATTTCCCAGGTTCATCCCATTGTGGCAGGCTCTTGCAAACCCCTCTTTAACTTTCCATACACAGTCTGTTATAGATGCGATGACCTTCTGGGTAAAGTCCAAGGCTGGCTGTGCAATACATTTACTGAGGAATTCTTGGGCGTTCTCTAGGATTTCGTTCGCCTTTGACGCCACATCAAATCCTGTCTCACAGACTTTCCGAAGGAACGGCACGGTGTCGTAGCCTTTGCAGACCTTATCTTTGTGCGTCTCACGCACGAAGAGCCTTATGGTAACTTCGAACAAACTGTCGTATCCTTCAGCCAGAGTGGAGACAAGTTGTGGAGGGTATTCAGCAGCTTGGAACAAAAGCGTGCACGCGCTCTTTGCGTACCAGTTGGAATATCCTTTGCACTTTCGTTCCACGGGAGACTCAGGAACGAAGTAGAGGCGCACTCGAGCGATGCCATTGTCAATGTGTTCCACAAGACCGTCCTTGAATGACCTGAATGCTCTTTCTGCAGACTTCTTGCTGCCTTCAATCGCCTCTAAAAATTTATGAGCTGAAACGAACAAAGATTAAATAAATAAACAAAGAAACGAATAAAATTCAACAAAATTTTGGAACAAAATTCAAAATTCAACAAAATTTTGGATCAAAAACGGCTTGTCGCCATCTGTTAAATCAAATGAGCATACGAAGTGACATTGAATCAAAACCTGATGGACATTATTCAAAATTTGAACACTTTTCTGTTAAATTCCAATTGAAATTTCTTAGATGATTAGTCGATGTGACGCCCTACGAAGTAGTTCAAGACGCCCAACTTACCTATTACTGCTTTTTTCATCTGAACTTTGTCGTAGCAGTCAATAAGCAGTCCATGAAAATTGTCTCCGAAAATAGCAAAGTGATCGTGGATCTTGCATTTGACGTCAGTGATGATTTGAATCGCATCATGATAGACCGAGAGAGCTACAGACTTGAAGTGTGAGACATTCCACCCACGGTCTGAAATAGAATATTTGACATTTTCATGGATCGATAGAGTGATTAGGTAAAATTTATCAACGCAAATCATTACATTGAGACGAATTTCAATTGCATCCACGATGGACATTATTCAAAATTTGAACACTTTTCTGTTAAATTCCAATTGAAATTTCTTAGATAATTAGCCGATGTGACGCCCTACGAAGTAGTTCAAGACGCCCAACTTACCTATTACTGCTTTTTTCGTCTGAACTTTGTCGTAGCAGTCAATAAGCAGTCCACGAAAATTGTCTCCGAAAATAGCAAAGTGATCGTGGATCTTGCATTTGACGTCAGTGATGATTTGAATCGCATCATGATAGACCGAGAGAGCTACAGACTTGAAGTGTGAGATATTCCACCCACGGTCTGAAATAGAATATTTGACATTTTCATGAATCGATAGAGTTATCACTGATTAGGTAAAATTTATCAACGCAAATCATTACGTTGAGACGAATTTCAATTGCATCCAGCTGCTGTTTCCTAAATCGTTTAAATTTTCTCAGGCAATTTCGATATGCCGCACGGTCCGATCGAAAGTTCATTGCATCTCGTCATTATGGTCCTACGTGTTTAGGCGTGGTATCGGTTTATGGCACTTTTGAAAACAATCTATTAATTTTATAAGTTTTGAATATTGTACTAATCGAGCACAAACCCGCCTGCGCTTACGCCGGTGGAAACATTTAAAACATGTCCGAAGATGAATTCAATAAAAAAGTACACTTACTAGTATAAGTTTTATTCCCGGCCCTGGTTGTTTCACCAATACGGTTTGATGGAGGCGATTTATTTTCAGTGATTTCTTCATCCAAGTCTGTTCTGAAGAGAGGTCTACTGACACCGGTCCTCCTTCTCGTTGTTGTTCTCGTAAACCATGGGTGGCCTTCCCTCGGTTCTGTCAGACGTCTCTTATGATTTAGGTATTCGTTTGGACAGTTGTCTCCAGTAACTCCACCCGAGATGTTAAGGTTAATCTCCAGGGTTTGACCTTCGGTGTTGCTGTAAATAAGTTTACATTCATTTATACAAAGGAGTCAAATAGGTATCATCTTGAGTGCAAGAATATGAAACAACATATTTTACACTGATTAAATCAAATCAAATCAAAGTTACTCTATTGAAAACCTTATCAGATATTTTGATGCGCAGGTGAAGGCAGCATACGAGCGCGAAAGGTTTTTACATAGTTTGTTTTCGTTCGTTGAACTTAAGAAGACAGTGTATACAGTAAAATGTACGTACCTCTCATATTTCTGGAGACAATTCAACATACAAACACAAGTAAAACTGAGAATTAGTAATGTAGATAATCGTAATATCGACATAATGGAAATATATATCTGCGCATTTCCATGTTGACTTTGTAACTACGGAATTGTTGTCGTCACATTCCTTATGACGTCACATTCCTTTTCCGAAGACGTAACGATTCTTGCGACGTTGACCTTCATTGTTTAACGATGCGTTGTCACGCAAGATGAGTGGAGGTCGAAGTAAAAATAAAAATCGGCTTATAATTCAAACAAAAATTACTACTGGAGGAAAACAATACACGCTTGAAAAAATCCCAAAGTATTTTGTCTGAATATCCTGCAAAACTTTTATCGTTCCCTATTCAGTCCTGTAAATCAGCCAATTCCCTCAAGTAAAAGTATGTAATGTCGGCATATAATTTTCAAAAATCAGTGAGACAAGGCCGTCGTAAGTTTTTTTTCTAAACAGCACTGGGACAACATATCAAATTAAAGGTTGAGCAATGGTTTGTGAGGAGAAAATTGCTTTTTTTTTTTTTTTCGCGTGTAATATTATAAGATTTGACCTGTGTAGTGTACTTTCATTGCCACGTATTATACTAAAACAAATATGAGGTTTTTCAGCGGAGTTTCTGCAAACTTACTGGACCGGAACGGATAACTTGGAATTCAAATAAGCACTTGGCGTATTTGACTCATTATTTCATATTCAATCATATTCTTTTATCCGGCGCAGCGTCAGACTACAAACTTGATTTCACAGTCATATATGCAAGATGTACCGCGAGGCTTCGTTTACAAAATCTAAGTTTTCTCGAAAGGCGACTTTGCATGTTTTTATAATTTCATTTTTTTTACATTCGGATTCACTTTTACTTGAACGTAAAGGGCTCTTAATCTATCTGGACTGTTTTTGTTTTCAGTGGCCTTTGCTATTTTGTAGGTCGATTGTGGACGCGCTCCGGGCACTTTCACTCATTCATGATATATAGGTCTATTTGAAAAAAAAAAAGTGAAAAACGACGTTGAAGATATATTCGCAAATTCGACTTTTTCTAAATCTCTGGTGACAGGAAGTGATAAATCTGGCGTTTTGTGTACATCACTGAAAATTATCAATTCATGCCTTGTGAGTATGGGGAATTTTCGTATTCAGTAACGAAGGTTTTAGCCTATTTAGGTTATAAAATTAACAACCCTTTAGGTACTATCCACACGTTGTTGATAATAACAAAAATTAGACTTTACCAAAGGAGTAAAACGAGATGCAGGTTTACTTAACTTACACATTTTGTCCTCACCATAAAGTATATTTTTTCAGTATGACTGGTAACGAAGGGTTTGCAATTTACTTTCTGTGAGTATCTATTTTACCATGTTTTGTGCAAATCATTTAACTGTGTCCTGTTTCAATATTGTCTTCCTAATGATGGATGATACTGAATTGAAGATTATATTAATGGTCCAAATATTGCAATAAACCATCAAATATCTAAAACTTATGACCTATGCCGCACAGTGCAATGTAACGAACGTTTTTCAATTAAAAAAATAATAATAAACGGCGACACCATGAAAGTAGCCGCAAGCTATTTATTGAGTTATTTAAAACATTAAAGAGTTTTTTAATTTTCTGAGGCGTTAAACATCAGTTTATTCTTTACATCGGCGAAACAAACATTAATAATAACAATAATAATACAGAAAAAAATTCTAGCAGGTTGTTTGTACCGTCTGAAGTTTTCTTCTAGACGTTGGCTGGAGGGAAGGTAAAAGTCGTCCGCGCGGTCTCTCCGGTTGAGAGAAAGGACAAGGCTATCACTGGCTAAGGGTAAGAAAAAACGCCACTGCCAATGCCATTCCCACAACCCCTCGTAGCTTATGGTCCTGCAAATGTTGCGGTTTGAACGTGAACAAAGGGGTCTCTGCGTGAAGAACGAGTTCTGTTCAAATTAGCAGTCAAAGTGTGATGATGCGCAACTGCGTACGTTAGTACAAAATCAGTTAGCTACTATAATCAAAACAGAGTTATGTTTGTGAAGTGTCACCATGTGGTGCGGAATCACGTGCTTTTGTTTAACATGACCACGTTACTAAAATTACCCTTCGTTCAACACGAGGTGCATGAAAATAAAAAAAAGATTTTACTTTAACTGTGTGTTAGATATAAATTACACTACATATTTGTTTTCTTTCGGTAGTGCCCCGATAAAAATAAGTGGAATTCATACAAAGGTACATCATATAAACTATTTGATAACTAAAAATAGAAATACAAGCAAATAGTTCAGATATAAAACAAAAAAGTGAATGTTACGAATACTGAAGTTCACACACACACACACACACACAAACATATATATAAAGCGAAAGTTACGAATGCCTCGAGTTGATCAACCACCCAGATGAACGTCAGGCGCATTGTGGTTTATCCATCTTGGTCGAGGTTCTGGATGCCTAGTTATGTGTTTATTCCATAAAGGTGAAGGTTACGGATGCCTTGTTCTACGAATAATTCATCAATGTCAAGGTCAAGGACGCCTTGTTCTGTGGTTTAGGCATCCACACAGTTGATTTTACCTCGTCCACCTGTTGAGACAACATGAGACAATAGTTATGTGACACTGGAAAGAGGTTTCTGTCAAGCAATACTGGTACTACGTTCCCGGTACTTTAATTTGACTACTTCTTCCTACGTATACATTATGTTGTATTATGCAAAGATCATGCACCCTGTTGTTATGTTGTGGTAGAGCTTGACTGTAAAAAAATGAACCGCTGACGCTGTTTGTTTGTCTTGGAATCAGCGCCTCTCGTGGCTTATCCAGGCGACATTGCCTGCATTTTTTAACCTTGATTTGCGTTATCATCACACGCATTATCATGTTAAGAGGTACTAAGTTATTATTTACATGCCTAGCAATGGCGAATGACTAAAATAATTCTCTGATACTCTTTATCAACAAAGTTACCAACTTACCGTGCTTGGTTTGTGCTTCATCACATAGCCGTTTGAAGCGACCTGAAGAAACTAGTTTCTCAAACCCTTCATTCCATTTGGAGTTAAAATCATTGTCTTTACGGGTCATCATTCCTTGTTCTCCGACATTCTTACAGAAGATGGGGTCCGTTGGGTATTGTTGGACATTAGTGCCAGAGATTCTGTCGGTCATAACTGACGCTGTTGTAAAACCCACGTCTACCTGTAAGATTATGGAATGCAAATATATAAATGATTGCTGTAAAAACATCAAAACTCGAGATCGAGAGAAGGTACGCTTCGATGCAAATTATTGACGTTGAGGTCACCTCTTGTAAACCAGAAGTTGGGATGATCGGCGCCGGTGTAACGAAACTGAGGGTCTGTGTTACAGAAAGTCCGCCCTCCATATAGTTATAATGGCTAGGGTTAGTATGACTTAATGGGTCAAAATCAAGGGCGAGGCTTCCCTGTACAAATGAATGAGAAGCGGACTCTCTGTCATGGGGAACTCTCTATCACGGTACACGGGAAATCATATATTCTACATGTAGTTGAGGGAACACAAAGTCTATTACAGCTTTGCTACATGAACACGAATTTTGAAGATAACAGAACACAACTGAGGCACTGAGAACTTCTTGAAGACGTACATCTACCTCATGCAGTGGCAGTGATATTCAAGATGGCGAACAAGTTGACTAAGAGGTCAATTAAAATAAACTAACTTCACATGACCGCCTCTCGAAAAATCAGTAAGCGTCAAAATTTGTCAACAAATATATGTGACCAAATATATTTATCCGCTGATATTCACAGTACTTTCTCGAATATAGTATTTTTGAATGAATGACAAAGGCAAATCTGAAACTGGACACCAGAAGAAAAATATCAAAAGAACGATCAACATTTTGCGCCTATTATTCGACTTCTTAGTCCTGAAGATATTTTTAATTTTAAAAATCATACGATTAAGACATAAAAATGAAGTGTTTCCTGTTTTTTATTTCATGCTTATAAACAGAATGAATCCTTTTGCAATAATTAAAAAGGGTAGGGATAAAGGGCTAGGATGCTGTGAGAATGATCAAATATTAAAATATAACATTATAAAACTGGTAACATAAGCAAGACACTCACAGTTCTGTTCTGGATCATAGCCAAGAGCTCGGCGGGCGTCTGTGCATGGAAAACGTTGCCGTGCGGGACGTCTCTGCCAGTCACCTGGTCCAGTCCGGCTAGGCAGGCTTCGTTAGTGAACCAACCGCTTACCAGTCCTGTAAAGAGTCAGCATACATGTTCTCAAACGTTTTGTTTGGTCTGTTCTTTTGTACGGTGGTGTGGCATGGCCTCTCTCGACTGCAACAACCAAGGACACATGAGGGCCATTCAGAATGAGAAGATCCGAGTGCTCACTGGTTCACAGCTTAAATATGGCGGACCTACATGAAAGGAAGACCGCTTAATCCTGTAGTGGTCTCTCCGCCTCTGACACGCCTCCCCACGCGTCTGGTCGAATGGAGCCGAGATTTAATTACTGTGTCCCTGCAGGGACGAAGCGTGGGGAGGCGGAAAGACCATTACAGGATTAAGCGGTCTTCCTTTCATGTAGGTCCGCCATATGTAGGCCGTGGACCAGTTAGCACTCGGATCCTCTCATTCTGAATGGCCCAATAGGCCGCAGAAATGTGGTCCTACCGGCGAATGTTGCGTATGTCATAAACTGCACATGGTTATAAGATCTTGGTGCTCGAGCGAGTTGGACAAGACAGACAACTCCTTGGAATTTTCAAGGAAAGACACAACATTCACCAGTCATGTCATCAGGAAAGGCAAACTCAGAGACATCAACCCGGCGGGAAAGGTTCCTGGCAAGAAAGCTAAAGGCAGTCCTGGTCCTTAACCAATAAAGGAATCAACACAATGAAAAATACGGGACGCAACAGCGCTGAAACTGGCATCATAAGTCGTCGAGTGTCGTATCGACTAAAAGACATGGCACCATAGAGAGAGACACATGTCAACGTACGGAACCTCTATCGAAGACTCTTAAGTGTTTGGCACCCAGATTTTCAAGAAATGAAATGAAACTACATATGGTAGCTAGGAGAAAATCCAATTAAAATCACCTTCATTTATGTCAAAATGCAGATAACTCACCAACTTTCTTCCCAGTGATATCCAGTGTATTAAATCCAGAAAGCGCGTAGAAATAGGCCTCGGGTGGTTTCAGAAACGGCTTGGAAAATGCGGAGAACTGCTTTCGTTGACGAGTGGCCAGCCATCCGGTGCAGGCGTCGTACCAACCCGACATAAGTCCTGAAATTGTACTTTTATAGAAAAGTTGTCTAAAACGTTACCTCAATTTCTGAAATTGGTTTATCAATCAAAATTTTTTATCACACAAAAGTGTTGATAACGTACATTTCACAAAAACACATAACAGGAGATCTACTGTTTATCAGTTTCAATGATAACGTAATAAATATTTTTTTAAAAAATTAGACCATCGATGCAATGTATAAAGTTATGCTTAGGAACGGTGATATATATCAGTGACGGATTAGGGAGTGTCGGAGGGGGGTCCTGACCCCCCCCTTCGATTTCTGATAAAAAACGCACAAAAAAAAAAAACGTCTAGCTGAATTATAATTCTAAACTGTACCAAATGGCGCCATTTGCCCTCCAAAACACCAATTTTTGGGGCTCTCGAGCGTGCCCCAAACCTGGCGTCGAGGGGGTGAGGGTCGGCCTCGCAATCCGAGGCCTGTCAGTCCATAAAAAACCGGACCCCTCTTAAAAAAATTCAGGATCCGAACCTGGATCCATTTTGAATCCTAGTTGTACCCCAAAGGTAATACAAAGTATTCTTACACGAATAAAAAATAATCCCCAAAACACAATAGCCTATTATATTCCAAAGCACTGGGTATTTATATTTGCTTGAAGTAAAAATTACATATCATTGGTAGAATCCTTAAGAATACGTCTTATTAGAGGCAAGGGGCAAGTAAAGTAAAGACAAGGAATACACCATGACACGGAATTAGATCGCCCTCCTAATAATTTTCTCGAACTACTTCAAAAATATTAATTTCATTTTATTTAATCATTCAAAACATTATTGCCTATAGTGTTTTCTCAATGTAAAGAGAGAAAGAAAAATGAAATGCATTCAAAGGGACATTGTTGTGATATAAAAAAATCACCCTTACCTATCCCCCCTCGCTGCGGCTGTCCTCTCTCCGAGATCACACAGTTGGTGTATGGCTCCGTGACCGTCCTACAATCCATATTCGCCTCCAGGCACACTAAAATTAATTAATAAGTCAGTGTCTTCATTTAATAGGTGATTTACATAACAATATAAACTGCAGCTCTATTCTTATCAAAATATGCTTTACTACAAATCAATGAAAAGCATAAAAGTAAATAAAGATTACCTGCGTCTATTACATCATGAAAAAAACCAACTTTAAATCCACTGGCGTCACTGAAATGAAAATTGGCCATGGTTGATGAAATTCGCCATCTTATGATGCATACTAGTAGTTTTACAGGTGCTTATATTTTTCGCTCTCTCTCTCTCTCTCTCTCTCTCTCTCTCTCTCTCACACACACAAATAAAAAGCAAAATGACAACAAACTCTCACTATTTGATTTTGCCAGTTACAGTATGTTTATGCTTTTGCTTACTAATATTCAAAACCCCCAGATCCGAATCCCACGGCAATTGTGTAAATCCTCTTTTTGTAGGAGGACTGATACCGGCTGGCGTCATAGGTACTGGCTGCAACTGCAGGCTGAGTTTGCTGAATATTTGTTGTTGAACCCTGGACTGTAATGTCAGAGCTGGCGGGTTTGGAGATTGCGACGGCTGAGATGATGAGCGCAACTATCGCAATCATTCCAGATATCACTATTGTTATTGTCAGCAACCGAGGGACTGGAAAAGATGAGATCAAAGAAATTAGCTCAATATTAGGAATACCTATACAGGGGCAGATCCAGGATTATGTGAAGGGTGGGGGGGGGGGGGTCTGCGGATGCAAAGCCAACCCTTAAACCACCCCCTCCCCTTGGCGTGGGTTCAGCGCCCTTCTGTATTATTACAGAAATATTTATGAGCTCCATGAGCTTGTACATGAAATTGAACTTTTTTAGTGACACGTATAAGTTTAAGTTCACTGTACCTCATCTGTAATCATTCCGACTGAATTAAACCAATTTAACAGCCATCTTTGCATGCTCACCAGAGCATAAGATCATGCTCAGTGACTTCACAAGAAACGCGAATTAAATTCGTATCTTTAACATTTATCCCAATGTTTTTTCTTAAGGCAGAATTACCTTCCAACTGGTTGGTTCTCGTCACAAGATCGACATTACTGTCGCTCCTTGTATCCGACATCTTGCATTAGAGGTCTCGCAAGGGCAAATGTACTTCCCTTATTTGACAAGGCACGAACTGAACCTGTTTGGATTATGACGAAAAAAAATCCTGTATGACGACGAGCACTTATACTTTGCATAACAAAGAGGAATACCTCATGTGCCCGGCTTAAGCTGGGCGTACACACAAAGGTCAGCGTCTGCAGTCAAGCACGGTTTACCTAAAATAAACAAGAAAAGTTCTACGTATTTTCGTCACCCTAAATCTCTACATGTACCGGTACATCCAAGTTTTATTTCAAATATGTGTTCAAAAAAGTTGTCTTTATAACTGAAATTAATTTCATGGAATGTAAAAGTAGTTAACTTTGCTTCGGCGAAGTGAATAACAAGTAAATGACAAGCATGCAGTATAGACGGTATATGACTTTACAGTATATGATTTTTGAGGTCAAAATGACAACTGATGGCCAGAAGAAATGGCGTCCACGTGCCCTTATTTAACGTCTATCTCCCCCCCCCCCCTATCCAGCAAAACGCAAAACGAGGGAATCGACATGAAAAAATAAACATGGACAAATTTATGCTCAGTTGTATGTTGTTTCTTGTGTTTCACAACTATTAGGCGAAAGCCCATTTTAATGTAGTATCACATGCAATATTACAAGTAATTACCTTTTTATAAGTGGGTCATAAAGATGGTACCACAATTGCAAAAGGAGGAAAATCGTAACTGGGTTAAGGGGATTGTTTATGCCTTAGTCATGGTGTTAAAATTTTCAACATCAGCGCGAATATAACTAATATGGGATATATAAAAATAAGAGCTTCCACACATTTTACGCAAGCCTTTTATTACTTCAATGAACTTTTTTGTGTTATTAAGGGGTCTTTAAGGCTAGGTTGGCTTCCAAAAGCCGACAACCTCTTCGGACGTATTGAACAGGTGTTTGGTATTCTTTGGCATAACCGTGACATATTAATACGACTGCAGTCGAGTCACGTAAGCATCCAGGTATCGAGTATTGAGGACTTATTTTGTTGACTTTTTTATGATACGATTATTTCAAAAGCAAGTTATTCAAAAGCCTGCCAATCTCGGTGACCTACGTACAAGTTCAAGTGTAATCAACCCTGGTAGAGGGTAAGTCAAAGGTACCCAAAGAATGATTCATATTTAACGAATTATCCCGGGTTAACTGCATGTCCCACCATCTACCAACCATTAATCTTCCTTTCTTGACACTAGCCATAACTTTTGAACAATTTTGGAAAAAGCCAAATCTCAAAACTTGCGTCTAAGCGGAGGTCTTCCATACACGATATTCTTTCCCCTGACTCGTCTTCCAGATATCGCAAAACTTTTGCGCCGTGATTGTCGCTCTTTTCAAGCTGTGTCAAGATGGCCCACTAGATGGACAAGGGACATTTATCCGTTATTTTATGTTTTAAAAGTTTTAATTTTCCCCAGATAACTTCAACAAGAAGCGATCTCTACATTAAAAATGCGTTTTAAAGCCTGCATTGTGTGCCTTGAAGCACCAGACGCAATTTATTTAACACAAGTCATTTGGAAAATAAAAGACAAAATAAAGGCAGTTGTTGTACATTAGGATTGATAAGTACACAGAGAAAAATCCATGAACATGTATTGTCATACTGGTAAGTTTATTATATATACCAAGTTCCTTGAGACAAAAAATAAGCCATGATACTAGGTCTTCTTTTTTGTTACATGACCAAAAATCGACAGATTGTTTCTTTTACTGCAGGCGTTAGATATATCCACAGTTTCAAAATGAAAATTCCAATTTTTTTGTTGTAAATAAATTAACACTTGCACCAGGAAATATTTTAGAGTTTTTTTTTTCTTAAACGAGCCGTATGCATGATGATTTTCAGTGAAAGATAAATTATCACCAGATTAAAAATTAAAAAAAAACTTTGTTTTACTTGATTTTAGGTGAAATTCATGGAACGTAATTCTTTGGCCACGTCGAAACATTGACGCCAGGGGGACACACCGGTGCAGGACAGCACTTGCCGACAGGCGGCGCACCAAGAGTACAACCGGCTGGAAGGTGCTCTATCCAATCAATCAAACCTGGACACCTGGTAGAAAATAAAAAATAAATGTTTTAAAGAGCATCTTGAACGTTGCTGACCCGATTCCCTTAAACGTGACTCTTTTTTGTCTTACATGACAGCCCCCTCCCCGAATCTACATTATTTATGCTTGGAAAATATACCCGTTATAATGAAAAATAGAAAGAGGCAACTATAAAATATTTGTTTGGGGTCAATATTGTAAAATATATTTTATAGACACTTTGTTTTAGGCGCGTTTGGAAAAGTTCGACAGTCAAACACATACTCGTTTTATTGACTATTCACTTTATCTTTAGATGATTGAATTTATTCGCCCTTGCACATGTCTGTCAGAGGTGGATAAATCTAGTGTAAAGTCTGACAAAACGGCGCCCTGTGGTTTACTGCCATTACTGGACTGTCACATAAGAAGGTGACATTAACCACCCAATGGCCTCATACTTACCCTCTACCAGGGCGACTGATAGATTTTTACAGATATTCACTTCAGCCCAAAATGACCATCTATCTAGCAAGAGACATGTCTGTGAATATCTGTAAAAATCTATCAGTCGCCCTGGTAGAGGGTACCTCATACTATAGTGACCCGATTTATAATATAGGCGTAGGCGGGTATCCTCCCATTGTTTAAACCATGCCAGTCAAAAATGCAAGTAGCAAGGGGTTTTTAAAGGAAACTCCCGTCACTTTTCTTCTGAACTTAGGATTTACTTCTTACGCGCCTGCATACTGTATTATATCATATTTCTTCTCACCTTTTGTTACAAGTGTGGTAACCTAGCACACATTTACAGCGGTAGGCACAGCCGTCATTCCACGTCTCACCGTCCTTGTAGGTCTTCCCGCCATACACACAGTCACCAGGGCCGGGAGAGGGCGCTGCTGCTGTTGATGACGCCAAGCGTTGTGTTGTCATTGGTTGAGTTGTTGCGGTTGTGGTGCGTTTGGGTTGCTTTGACACAGTAACAACTGGTGTAGAGCGTGAAGTACTCGCAGACGTTGACGGCGGCAGAGAAGTGACGTTAAGGCGTTGAGTACTTTTGAACGTTGGTGCCGCAGTTTTTGAGACAGGGGTGGCTGTAGTGGTCGGCACGGTGGCCGAGGTCACTTTTGAGGACGGGGTCACCACTGCCGTTGACGATGAAACACCAGAGGGCGTTTTGGTAAACCCTGGATTGGTATGTCCTGCGCCTAAGGTGAAATAATATATTTACGTCAATAAATACATTAGGTAGGCCTACATACGGGACTATTCAAACAAGCCATTATTTTGTACCGGTATTTTACATAATAGTGAACAAGTGTTTGGGAATAAAATAACGTGATTTGAAATTGAAGTGCTTTCAGCTTTATGTGCTGGGTTTGCAGAAGAAATGAGTTAAAAAGTTAAAAGAGAGAGAAGGGGTGCAAGCAAGGTAGAATAAAATGAACCTAAACGGAAGGTAACAACAAACAGGTTCACGTAATACATGTACACATCCTTGACCCCTAATATTTCTCATTTTAATACTTTCCATCTGTAGAATTAATACACGTTACCGCAGTATCCACAGTAGGCAGCACAATTCGTTTTTCCCCACTCAGTAAAACCGCCGATACATGCGTTTTTCCCGTACAGATAGCAGTCCGGTAAAGCGTTCTTACAGAACCGATTCAACATCGAAGCTGAAAGTCAGAAACATTGTAGAAGGTCAACACATAGCAAATATTTTTCAAACTTTTACGAACCGTATTTGCGAAGCCCAACAATATCGCTTGGCCTATTGTGTAGAAAAAGGAAGGCAATGCCACCATCCTGAAAATTTTCGTATCATGAACCTAAAATCGTGAGTCGTTAAATGTCTTAGATGTGGCAACTGTGTAATGTGACTTAAGTTTAGAATGTGATTTTATCAATTCCGTTGCCGTCTTGCAGTTGATAAGTGCCACTGCCATTATTTTGAAAATAAAAAGTCTATTTAGTCATATATTTGCTGTTTATACCTTATATTACACTCCCAGAACAGAATCTGTTTGGATAAAAATGCACTAGTTTTGTTTTGAGCGCTCCAGGGAAATACTAGAAGTTATTCATTCAAAATTTAAATAAGTTAAAAACAATACCATGTAGTATCATGACAGGTGAAATCAAGTGAAAGTTCTTGATAATAAATAAATAAATAAATGAATAGATAATAACTTGAAGTTGAGGGGTTTTGGTATCCACCCGATATACGGGTGAATGGGACGAAGAAGAGAAAGCCGCACTTTGGTTAGTAGTGTGAAAATCACTTACGGTGACAATTTCCCCATTTTCCATCTCTGTCAAAGTTCTCCGTGACGGCGCACCAAGGCTCGGAGTGTCCGCTTACTATACATTGCGTGACATTGGAGCCTTTGTATTGGAACGGGAAAGCGCAAGGCTGGCCGGCTGAATTACCCCCGTTCGTACCTGCCGGATAAAAGCTCACATTTACAATTTATTTATCTACTTGAACTGTTCCCGTTGATGTTAGGTACAATGGGGGAGCCAGTGATGATACAAAAGCCACGTGCTCTCTCGATTAAAGTCATAATAACTCTTCGTTTGGTCAAAAATTGGATTTTCCTGGAGTAAACGGCAATTTTCCCGTACTTACCAATGGTCAACGACCCCATTCCTGCATTCAAGGTTTTTTTCTTAAACGTTTGGTTTTTTGTTAAAATCTCTTAAGAGATTTTAACTGACGGAGCCCTCTCTGACATTGCATAGTCACGCGATATCGAGCGATAGTTTCTGGTGACCTTCTTAAAACCGCGGAAAAAGCAGACAACAACACCGCTATATAACAATAATATAAGATTCATAAGACATATTCGTCTTATTGCTCAAAATGCATTTATATCTACAATGTGTGCAATTCTGGGCTTTTCGCTATCCGACGCACTGTACAAAAACTCGCAACTTACGTCTGCGTATCGCATCAGGGGTTTGGCGCCAAATGTATTCTGGTCTCGAATGAACGCGAGAATCTGCGTGACACCTTAACGTCATTGGCATCGGATGCCTTGACGACCGGGAAGAAAGGCATCGAAAGCCCTATTGACAAGCACAGATTTTAGTTTTACTACAATAACGGCTGTTTTAGTGGTAAAATGCCATAGAATATATTTCCATGCGTTGTTTACAATGTATTTTTTGTGGAATTTTAAATCTCAAAGGAAGAGTTATTATTGCTTTAAGCTTCGAAGAAAGTCCCTTCTACCCCATTGGTATCTTCCTTCCCGAAACACAGTACAATGAGCGATACGAGACAAAACCAATCATATGTTCATCATCGTACCCCTCATATTATAATACAACTTGCCCTCGTATACTGCTAAAACAAATTAAATCCTCCCCCCATCAAGGTCCTGTATCCGCCAGTGAGATTCAACTAGGAAATAAAAGAAACAATTTTGGGGCGATGATTATTTACATGTACCTACACTGTACAGCATATTGCACCGGTACTTACTTACTTACTCGTAAATAATATTGTGTTTCAAATATAATGCTCAAAAAGACAAAGCTCAATCTAAATTCACCTTGGACAATTAATGCCACACTTGGGCAAACCCGGACGAGTGAAAGTGAATATGGACAGGTAAAATCACAGAAACAACAGTTATCTTACTGCAAAGCCCGCATGTCTGGGCACAGTTTCTCAGGGCCCACGGCCGATACCTCCGGTCAAAACAGGCACTGTCCACGTAGTCGCTGCAATCACGGAGCTTGTCCTGGCAACTTGAAACTGAAATTTGTAAGGGTTACTGTCAGATTGTGTGGCGTTTTTTTTTCTTGAAATCTATCTATCTATCTATCTATCTTTATGTGATATTTTTTAGCAAAGAATTTATCAAATATAAATAAATGACCGACTACAAACAATGTTACAGGTAGGACCAAATTATGTTACCTATTAATTTCGTTACTGAATATTTGAACTCTACAAGAAAAAAGTCACAGATGCATGAATTTTTTATTGGATAATTATAGTCACCTGCTTTCCCATTTCATCAAAACAAGGTTCGATAATTAGTTTCATACACATAGTGTACAATTAGAATGGGTAATATATTTGACTTGCCCTCTAAATAATTAATCATAATCGAGATCAAGATGGAGTTTGATAATTTCATCTGTTTGATTTTGTATCTATTTCTGATATCCCTTAGTATTAAAAAGAGTTATCTCAAAACTTACGGCCCGGAATCTTGGTCGGTATTACAAATACTTGTGGGGCACTGGTACTAGAAACCGATTTAGTTGGCAGAAAAGTTCTAGACGGTGCAACAGTCGCTGTAGAATGGCTAGTGACGCTAGATGGCAGTGCGGTCGTCGAGCTCTCGCTTGTCGATCCTGGAACTTTTGCAGTGGTTTTAATTATCCCTGGATTGCTAGAACCAGCGGGAGACGTCGAAGTTTTGTCCGTAGGTTTGGGTGTTGTGTTAGAGTCCGGCGTCGTGCCGAAATTGTTACCTGGCAATATGCTACCCCCGCACTTGACTTCCTTACAACACTTCCCAGGTACGGCAACCAGAGCGCAGTGGGGCGGTATGCTGAGGTACTTGGGGCACCTGATTGATTTATAGAGAAGTCATATATAGAAGTTATATGAGGCAAATATTCATGGACAAAAGAAAACTGATAATCCAGACCTTTCTATTTTATGCATGCTATTCAAATGTCATCATTCTCTGACGGATCCAAAATTTTGTTAAGAGTTGGAGACAAAGTATAAAATATAATTAAGTCATTGAAGGCACGTTTACGGTAATATGTATAGCGCAGAGGGATGGGGAGGGGTCACCCCCGTAGTGTGGGAGTCACGTAGCCCACTGTGCTCCCCCCTCCCCCCCTGGATCCGCCAATCATATTATACATCGCACATTAGTGGCTACTACGCTGAAGATTGACCCCTTGGCTTGCTTACCTTTCGTGACAAGAATACCACTGTGATTTGAGACACTCACAGGAGTAGTCACAGCCGTCGTCCCATTTCTCACCCACGTCATAGCCACGACCTTTGTAGATACACTGTGCTGTGAAAAAAGATTTCTCTTTAATTTATCGGTAGGATTTTCATTTTCATCTGTTTTCCTCCTATAGGACAACGAATCAATTCCACTTGTTTTTTCGGTTTCAGTGTGTATTTCAAATATAAGTACACTTGAATTGGGTGAATAAAACTATATTTACTGTTTATGCTGATTATTAAATAGATCATTATTATAATAATCATATTCCCATAAAAGTACAAGTGCTTTCATTGGGGTCGGCCATATTCACGGATCATCTGTTTTGAATGTACTAATGGTTCCTCCGTTACCGGAAGCAGCAGCATATCTATTTGTATAATTTACTCACACATCCAATCACAGACGGGCTTCGGGCAGCACTCCCCCGCCTTCACCTCCAGCCTGCAGCCCGCCGGCAGGGACTGGTACGTGGCACATCTGTATTAAAAGCACATGGTACGTTTTAGACTTTTATATAATAATAATAATAATAATAATAATAATAATAATAATAATAATAATGATATACCTTGATAGTAAAGGGGAAATTGTTGAAATATTCAGGAAGATCGTTTTTTTCAGGCACGTCCATATCATTTTAACTGGGGAAGTGGCTGACACAAAGCAAACTGTTATAAAATGAGGTTAAATTATAATTTATAACATTAAAGAAGAATACGAAAACAGTCATAACACGGCAAACTTAACAAAGAATAAAGAAAGAAAAAACTTCGTTGAAACTAAAGCAGTCTCTCATGCTCACTAAAAAAAACTCCATGAGGTTTTAGAAATGAGTCGCATGATTCTGTCCTTGTTTAATCATTCCACAAGAAATTTCCTTCACTCTGTGGTTAGAGAAATGGGTCATTGCGATAGTGAAATCCAGTGAGCATCATAATCACACCTTCTTTTAAAACTGCCAGTACCGGTTACCTTTGTTACCTGCATTTACCTGCTGTAACACATGGTAGCGTTCATACTTGCGCGCACACATCTGCATGACGTCATACAGTCCAGCGACCATGTCTCCCCCTGGCGGTATCTGTGTCCATTGAAAATACATCGGTCATCCGACTGGAGCACTACAAATATCGCAAAGGAGCAGTGAAAATGGCGAAAAATGTGTTTATGTTTCTTTAAAATCTTTGGTAGCAGCATTTCAGTCTTCTAGAATAAAATGACAAGAAAAATATAATTATTTCCGTTGCATTTCGACCTTTAAGACCAGGAACTTTATAATACGTGTAAAGAAAAATTAGAATGACAGCCGACATTACTATCCAAATACTTAAATGAAAGGTTTAAGTCGATAAACCTAGCAAGTCTTATGCCGTTGCAAGGTGGAAATAAATATTTGTTTATTTTTATTAAAGTATTCGCACTGGCTCTTTTATTGGCACCGTCATTAAAATTCAATTGTCATAGCCGCGTTTTACACATTTAACTTCTAGTAAAAATCTAGGGGTAGAATATTCCTCTAAATGAAGTCTAAGCCATCATATTTTAGCACAGTTTACACCTTCGCATTTACACTACTAAAGTCTCTATATTCACACACTCAATTTTTACCAACCCTCATAAAAGAACATTTGAGCAAATATCGAAAGTTTTCGTATAAGAAGACAGCTTGCTAGCAGATCTTACCTGTCAAATCAACAGCAGTAAATGTTAGTACACACAGGAGACAAAAAAACGTCCCCATATTTCCCATCACTGGACAAGCCTTTCAGATGCTTTCACGGGACAGTGTGTGTGTGTATGGAATGGGCACGTGTCAGACATTTGGAGCCTCTCCCACGGTCGGCAAATGAGAGAGAGAGAGAGAGAGAGAGAGAGAGGAAACGTTTCACACCTCATGTGTACTTTCACGAGACAGACATGGAGTCGGCCAATCTGAAGAAAAGCGACACAATAGTGGATCCCCCTCAGGGATGGGGAGGGGGTTTAGATTTATTGAAAACTGTTTCGCCTTTCATGGCAATTTCAAGAATTAAGACAAAAATTAAAGTGAAGACATGGTTTATTCCAGGCTTCATTTCGTGTCTCTTTGCATCAGTTTTTTTTCTCCCAACAGACACGGGGTTTTGAACCTTATCACCGATTCAGGGATAAAATTGTCCTCCAAATGTTACTGTGAATGAGGCTCTTTTTTGTCCCAAAACTCGTATAATGCAGTAATCCCGGTCTACATCACATGCTGCATTCATGAAGTTGGACTTAGATTTAGATGATATAATAATAAGTTAAAGACAGCTCCTTATAGTGGCTTCTGAGTATGTGGAAGGTGGTGGGGGTGAATAAATAGTTTTGCGAATATATATATATATATATATATATATATATATATATATATATTGTACATCAACTAAATCAAACAAAGCACACTGAATAGGGTTGTGTTAAATATTTTAGAGGGCGATAATCAACAAAGAACGTTTCTCCCTTCTTTGTTAATTTTTTCAACTTCGGTAACACACAAAACGTGGAATTGTGGAAATGGCAACAATAATTGCATTCGACTGGATATCAGTGTTGTCAGATTTAAGAGTTAATGCTTCATACCGCTGTCTCTCTGTCAAAAGATAAGCAGATGGTTCCATTCCCACGCTGATGCTGCCGTCACGATTACAAGTATTATTGCGCAAATAAAAGAAGACTTTTTTGGCACTCATCAGATTTTCAACGGACAAACGCTGATGTCTCTACAAGACCACGTTGTTCATAAGTTACATTTGGCAAGTCTCAACGTCAACGCAAAAATGATAATAAAATTTTAAATTATCCATATTTCATTTGAAGATTTGCTTTATTCACATGAAGATAACACATTACACAAATAACCACATATAAGTAGACACGCACACGTATACGCAGGGTAGTAGGCTAGTAGACGGGGGTGGGGGGTGGGGATTGCAGAGACTTTAGAAAGAGATTTATAAAAATTTTCGTGTTCTGTAAAAAAGTCATATTTTCCATTCCCCAGTCTATCAGAAGTCTCTTACGTTTCCTTTTAGTTGATACAGACTAAAGCCTAAAGTTCAGACAGCATCTACATCAGTAGAACGGGTGGTACGGTACAGATTTGTATTGAATGCCTTCAAAAGCTGCTCCAGGCGTGTTTTTCAGATGATTGCCTTGTGCATTTCCCGGTGTCACAGACAAGAAAAAGAAAATATGTCGATTACGCCGTAACATATATCTCGTCAAATATGTAGGGGCAAGTTTTGTTAAATAATGTTTTGCTTTTTAACATACACACGCGCCCACTTAAACACACAGACAACAGCAATGCAATAGTTATTGACATTATTAAAACATTAAACTATGTTAGATAAAATATTTACAGCATGTCAAAAGTGTGATTCATTTCAAATGTTTGACTTTTGTTTGATTTAAGAAAATGATTAATTTCAAATAAATTTGATATGTACCTTGATTGCACACCACACACTCCTTAAGGTCGTGATTTCTGTTGAATCTATAATGAAATTTAAGCGAGCACAGTGGTACATGTATACATGTAAAACCATCTAAAAAGACCAACAACGAGGTACAAATTACCTTGGGTTTTTCACCGCACCGCTCATATTTTTACATAGAAAAACGGTCTTCATCGTTCACAAATACGTAGTTGTTGACAGCATGGTGGACGTTATAATACAACATCAATGAGCACTAACAGCTTTACAATACAATAAAATATTTACATTGTTTTGTTAGGTGTACTTCATATGTAAAAGCTCAGTCTACACGTACCAGCGTCTTTCTCGCAAATTTAAATCTTTATTTAAAATTGTATATTATGAATTTAAAACTTCAAAATCTGTGTTTCTTTGAAAACCTTCTGTATTAGCATTCTCAAAGTCCAATTTCATTCGAGCTTATGATATGTTTGTAACTGTTTCGTAAGCAAAAGAGTGACTTAAGACTTCCCTTTCTTTTTGTCGATATTTCCGGAGAAAACATGGAAAAAGTTATCTTCATTATTGGAAGGTTTTTACGCCTCCTTCAATTTAAAGGTTTAACTGGTAGTGCGAGCCACTTAGCTTTTCGATTTGCCATAGCATGGTGTCATAGGGCGACCCTGGTCTAGAGTTTGGCGCGGAATGTATTTGTCGCAGTGACCTCAACCTTGAAAGATCTTCCTCTGTTCTGTTAACGTGCATACTACGTGAATCTGTGCGTGATGTGCTTGTGACGTGAGATCTTACTGTGTCGTCACCAAGTGGGATCACATACAGTGAACTGGGTTTTGACCGCGATGTATAAAGCGGCGGGTTAGAAAATGTGTCCTTGGCTCCAGGTATCCTTGGATGATACCGCCAATGCTGCCCTCCACCAAAGATACCAGATGTTCTCTTCAGCTCTTGTTCTTTCTGTTCACGTGCAGTGTCCGAAAAATCAGTGCCGTGTTTCTCTGTAAGAAGTGCGCCGTGTGGCTGGTTTGTGACAGCGTGTGTTTCAACCGTGGTTTGTATCTCTTGGATAGATACACAGCGCGGTGTGCTGCGGTGCCCTTTGGCATCTATGGTTTGGGATAAGTTGAGGGCAGAATCCACGGACATGATTCCAGAGCTGCAGTTGTCTGTCGCTGGGATTGCAAGGCGGACGCTATCTGAAACTGAGTCATGAAAGCAAAACTTTTAAATTGCGCCTTACACATCAAAATTCTGCTTTGCATTTGCTGCAAAGGTTTCTTCAGATCACTTGCAATGTGAGTGTGGATAAAGATACTGAAATAAAAACATTATTTAGTAGTCTGTCAAGCCACTGTTACTAAAATATTCCATGAAAATGAGCACAGAATGTGGTGGACGGTCATATGCTAGTCTGGGTATAAAGCACAGAGAAAGACATATATTGAGACAATATGTCATCAACCTACTATTCCTATGTTTCACCTGGTATTTGCTAATTTGACAGCATCAATAAATGGATAACCCCTCAGATCAATTATCTTTATCATCATGATAGAAATGAGTGAATAAGAGAGAAATTAGTTGATAAATATCACACACTCTTTTCATGGGTTTTCTGACTAAAGCTGCCTTTCCCTCCTGAAGTACCGGTACTTGTGATGATAGTGGATTTTTTCTTTGTCATTACAGCTTGCCTGGTATTCTTCTCCGGGTGTAACAGCACTGTATACACCTTGGGCATAAAGAGACAGACCAGTTGAACCGTCCCGCTCAGTGCTACCGCCATGCACATGGTGAAGACCCGGATGTCGTGAGTGGGCGTGGCTATGTACATGGTGACGAATGCCAGCCATAGGACACACGTGGTGTAGTTGGTAAAGGCGATGTAGCGGGCCTCGTTGAACCCGTCTGGGGTTTTTCTTGTCTTAACGGCATACACGGTGCAGAGGATAATGAGCAGGAAAGGGTAGGCTAGAGCTAGGAGGTAATCGAAGCCGTCACCACCAGCACATATAAGGATGTTCTCTCTCTTGGTAGGGTAGATGTGGTCTGCTTCGGGCGGAACTAATATCATCCACACCGCCAAAATAATCAGCTCCACCAATGTGAAAAAGAAGACGATCATCAAACACGACTTCTGATCAGTAAACTTGGTCTTGGTTGTTGAGCTTGCGTCGTGGAAGAAGATACGAGCAATTCGGTTGGTTTTGGTTAAGATGGCGGCATAGCAGACAGTGTAGCAGACGCCTAGAAGGATGCGCGTGAGGGCGCACGTGATGGGACTGGGCTTGGCAACAAAGATCAAGGGAGACGAATACGACAGAAATATTCCTGCTAAAAGAACGTAGCTGAGCTCTCTGCCCGACGCCATGATGACGGGCGTGTCACGGTACACGTAGAACACAATGCCAATCACAATACACAGGACCATGCCGACCACAGCAAACACGCATGGTCCAATAGCCCACGCGCTCAAGTGACTCATATGCGTAAGCGGAAGTGGCTCGCACGCGTTGTACTCTCTGTTGGGCCACGTGCCAAGGTCGCAGGTCTCACATTCTTCTGGATGGGGGAGAAACTGGTTTTCCGTGCAGTTGGTACACACCCAGCAACAGGAGTTGTCTTGCACGTGGTCCTGGAGCGAAATGAATATCATCTTTACCGCAACGCAGTTCGTAAAAAAAATCCTTCGGTTAAAGGCGTTTTTAACTCTAAAACGGGTTTTGGATCCACCAGCTATGTATATGACTTGAATATGCCATACCGAACACAAAAGAATTCTTATATCGCAAACGCAATCGTAAATCGATTTTCATGGGAGCAGGCCTACCTTCCATCAATAACTCACTCTTTAAGACTTGAAATAAGTTGTATAGAAGTTAAATTGGTTTGTATGTAAGTTGTGTCGGTGGTTTACTACCGATTTTTTTGCTTATATTAAGGCGTTAACTCCCCCACTCAGGGGTGGATCCAGGATTATTTGAAGGGGGAGGGGGAAGTCCGATTTTTCAGGATTGACAGGCTTCGGATGCGAAGCCGACCCTCGTCCCCTTGAAGTGTTTTGGAGGGCAAACAGTGCCATTTGGAACGGTTAAGAACTATAAATCAGCTAGTCAAAATTCTAATTCCAAGAGGGGAATATCAGTGTGATTTTTTTTCAGTAACCGAAGGGGGAAGGGTCAGGACCCCCTGCCCCCCCCCCCTCTAAATCCGCCACTGTCCCCACTCCACCACTAAACGTATACACACACTACACAAACGTGCACATGTATACAAATACACATGTACACATAATACATGTATTTCAATCCCTGTGCATTCTTTTCTCAATTCCTTCTGTTAATCTGCATCGAGATCGCCATCGTTATTGCAATTATTTAAAACGAAAGGCTCGGAATTCAGAATACCAAGGGAGTCTTATATCTGTTGGTCTGTTATACATGTTTACTCTGTATATACGTTCATGGTATTTGCATGTACATGTATAACAGAGGCGTAGGTTGAGAAAAAAAAACTCTTAGGACAACTGTTAAAAGCTTACAAGACGTGCAAGCAGGTTATTTGCTTCTTCTGATGTGCTCATTTAGACACTTGCTGAAGGAAAAACAATGGACTTTTGTTAGCCTGGGAAAAGGCTTACATTTCATTAAGACCCCCCCCCCACCCCACGCACAGCATACGATCCTGTATAAAGCTTTTACAGCGCATTCAGAACAGCGAACTAACGGATCCACGGATCAAATATGGCCGACCATTGAATGCTTGTTGCGTAATCCCTGCGGGGAATCTACTAAGTGCCTAATCGGAAATTGAGCGACAAGCTTTCTAGTGGGTCGCCATATTTGATCCGCGGATCTGTTAGTCCGCTGTTCTGAATGCGCTGTTATATATTTAAAACCAAACCTTCTTCTGTCCCAGCAAGCATTCTTCTCTGCAGCTGGAGCCAGGATACAGTTTCAGGTCCTGCAGGAAGGCCGGGCTCAGTTCCATAATTGGGCTTCCTTTGCCACCTAACAGCGAACAAAGAGGATTTCAATGACGAAAAATGGATATTTACTGCTTTTGGATATTGAAAATCCCAACTTATCTGATAAGAAGGACTTCATATTTAAATAACCGGCACGATTATCGACAAACGGATTTTCATGTTCGGGGCATCAACATGGCAGCAGGTGAAAATGTCATTAGCAAATCTGACAGCAAGTATACCGCCCTCACCCCTTTAATAATACACATTTTAAAGACATTACTAGGCTTAAAGGGTTTATAAGAATTAGTTGTCTATAAAGTGTTTCACAAAGAATCTAAAAGACCGCTTGCCTTTCCTCCCCACTCTTTTTTCTTAGAAAGCTGATCTTTTAGACTTGTGTGTGGCGGGGAGGGGACATGCAGATCTACTTCATTATAAATACAAAGTATTTCAGTGATTACCTGAATAGTTCCCCACAATACTCCAGCGATATTCCGAACTGTTGAACTTCTTAAAGTGCATATAAGTGTACTGAGGTTGACCGTCTATACCATTGACAAAGGTAAACTCCTGACCTGTCGCTTCTTCTGAAATATTATGAAATTTTTTTTAATCATTTCACATCAGAGAGACTGTCATTTATTTTTCATTTATGATTGTTACACTAACATAAATATGTTCTTAAAATATCAGCTCGCTATTAAAGGATACCGGGAAAGTTTCGACTATTTGTACACCATACCACTTGCGATTGGAGAACGTGCTGAGCTACTTGTTTTGAAAAATCAATTATTTGATGATTAATTTAAGGGTGCATTCCCAGAGATTTAGATCGACCTAACTCCCTGGGGGTTCACGCTAAATTGCAGTCAGCCGAGCGCACATCATAGTTAATTACCCCCTTACAGCTTTTAGTAGGCGGGACAGACGTTTAAGCCGGCTAAGCTGACAGTAATCTAGCGAGACTCCCCACAGGGATAGATCAATCTAAAATCTATGGGAATGGGGTCTAAGGCTCAAAATGATTGAAATAATTACTAGTAAAATTCACTGTCTTGATAAAGTGCAGCAGAGCTGTCCTGTTCAGGTTCTCCGGTGTCATTGCATGACATAAACCCTTGAAGTTTGGGCCGCAATACGCGCTGTGCATATTCTTCAGTGCGTGGGCGAACGCGTACACGGCGTCGTGTACAAAGTGTAAGTCCAACTGCTGCGTGTAGCCTGGGTGAAAAGAACTTAAAAATGAAATTTCAGATAAGAATGAAATTTAATCTGGCGACAGAATGTATAATTAAAGAAGATAGACACTAAAAGACGTGATCTTCATGATCCAGGACTTGGCTAAGGGGGTGGGGGGTGGGGGGTGGATGAGAGGAACATTTTGCGTGGCTACACTTGGAAAATATGAAATAGGACATGTAAACGTCAACAATTTACTGTAATACGTATGTAAGGCAAGAGAAATGGAAAATTACTAAAATTATTAATGTATCATTTGGGGGAGAGGGGAGTGGAGAAGGGGGGGGGTTGGGTCGCCATTGCTGCTATACCTGATGATAGGTCTATCTTTTCACTCCCTGTGCATTCTTGTCTCGTTTCATTCAGTACATCATCGATGGGGTAGCCACCATAATTGCAATTAAAATGATCGGCCCAGAATTCAGAAAACCACGGGTTTCTCTTGTTGTTTCCAGGGTTCAAACTAAATTAAATTTAAAAAATGCAATCACAATTCACACGACGAAGTTTTTGTGAAAAGGACTTTCATAACATTTACTGAGCGTATATAAGATAAGGGACCTTGGAATCTTCTTTCATCAAAACACGATTTGAATGGAGACACTTCGTTTATTTGGATTTGAAACAAGATACTTTTTGTTATTTAGCGTTAATTTTTTTCTGGGCACTATCAAGACTCCGAGAAAGAGAGAAGCCGTACTTGGTAAAGTAGTCATCAAATCCAGGTAATATAGCCGCCATCGGTTGTGTGGCGATTGCATTCTCCGCCACGTGTTCCAGTCCCTCTACCACACTCTGGCTGGCGCTCCAGGCATCGGTGCCTATCCAGATCAGTTTGGTGAGACTTTCGCGTTTCTTACTCATCATGGCGTCCACGGCCTCGAAAAGAGGTCTGACCTGTGCAGTGTACAGGTAGAGAACTACCACTGGAACGATGACATGAAGTCGAATGCCATTAGAATTAATGCCATTAGAATTAATAACAACAGCTAGACTTATTAATTAAGCACGTAACAATGAGCATTTGTTCCAAAGAATGTTCCCTTCAGGTAAAATTTTATCTAGATACATGGTAAAAGGGTCCACTTTTTCAGAAAAAAGCTCCCCCCTCCCTTTTGAAATTGCTGGCTACGGACCTGCCATTATACCGGGTACTTCTAAGCAGGAAGTTGTAAAGAGACTTGTTGTTCTTATTCTGCGGTATTCGCCTTCTATTAAACCGTATTATTATACAACATTGGTCAAAAAGGTTGTCCCACCCCTAATTCCATGTACTTTTATTTACAAACGATCATCTCACAGGTGTTAATTGTCTTAAACAGTGATTTTTATTCCAGATAACATATCTGACATTATTAATGTTTAAGAAAATACAAAATAGTGCTGAAAATATCCATATTTTATACCATTTATTCAAATTTATAACACGTACCCCCTCAAATCCGACGTTTCACTGTGATTTTCACAGAGGGTAAAGAAATGTCCATTAAATTGAAATGACACAATCATCATGGAAAACATGGAAAAGGTCAAGGACGTTTCAGATCGCTGACGGTGCGCGCGCGCCATCTAGTGTTAAGTCCGCGAATGACCGTTTGCGGTAACTGATTGTCGAGTTGCTGTAACTGATTGTTGAGTTGCGGTAACCGACTTTTGAATCGTTTATTGATTGTTAGATTTTGACGAATGATTAAAATGACCAAAACTAATTTAGTAGAATTAAGTTTAGATAGTTAAAGTAGGTTTTGACTGTTAAATAGTGCCGATAGATTGTTGAATTAACGTCTGCATTTTTTGCGTGAATGGCGTTCCATAGATATCTTAACTGCTAGTTTGTATTTTCTGTACCAATAATCATGTTAGTAATGATATGATGTGATCATTTATAAATAAAAGCACGTGAAACTGGGGGTGGGACAACCTTTTTGACCAATGTTGTATATTAAGGATGTAGATAACAGGGGTAGCTATCTTCTAAACCGACCAAGATATACCAACATGTTACATACCAATAGAAAGCTTATTTCAACTGCTTTTCATTTCATATCCTTATTTTATTATGTAATTGTTACGTAATGAGATATAATGCATATATTATATATCTCGGTATTCACAGAAGGGCCCTTGCTTTTAAACTAGCTTCTTGCGTCTGGTGCTCCTGTAGCTGATCCATTATACTTTCACCCTGCCATGGTCACAGGCTAATTTTTCACTAGATAATCACAGATATTTATCTGGCTTATCTATAACACACATTTCTACTGGAGAAAAGTGTACGTAATTATATTCTGCGGCCCCGGTAGGGGTGCACTGTGCCATTCTTGTACCCATTCCTTCACCTGTCACAAATTTATTAATTACTCTTATCCACAAAGGCCTGTATAAATACTTGCCTCTCGCATCCTGTTTTTCAAGCAACTCCTCGACCAACATTTTGTAATAGTCAATCCCCAAATTTGCGTCCTCCACCACACGACGCAGGGCAAAGCATATCCCGGCATCCTCTGCTCTCTTCTCAAGCTCACTGAATCCCCCCCGTCCGTAGTGGTTGTCTAAGTAGAGCGCTGATATGAACGTCCATTTATTATGTCTGCAAACGAAAAATAAAATAAAATAAAATAAAATAAAATAAAATAAAATAAAATAAAAGACCACGGAAAAGAGTCGTTTTCAGTATGTTTTAACACTCTGTGCTTCATGGAAACGGCAATTGAAATAGTAGATGGTTTCTTTTTCTATTTTAAGTACACGTACGTCAGAAGCTCCACAATCGCTCGCGCCTGGTTGGCGTCAGATGGCACAGTTCGCTGGAAATATGGGAATCTCTTCTTGTCGCTAAGGTCGGGGCTGCTGGAAGCGTAGCTGATCTGTAAAGGATTCAATAATCGAATGACCAAAAATGTAAAAGGAATTTCACATTATCTTATAGAAATTCGCCAAGCTTTAAGCCTCTAAAGCTGAATATCAATTTCATATTCACACACGATGTGAAAAGAGGAAAACAGGAAGAGCTTTAAGCAGACAAAGAAGAAAGGGAAGGCGAATTCCGTTGCTCAATACCTGTGGCACTTTGAATAACTGCAGCAAATTAGCCACATATATAGACACTGTACTTGATGACCCTCCTACCACCCCGACCATCTTGTGGAAGTCCACTGGGCCCGGCACAAGCTCGGGTTTGGTCCCGTCTTGGCACGTGTACGACAGTCCGTCGTCGTCTGGTCCGCTTATTCGAGACACCAAGCTTTGGACAAAGTCCGCGAGCTGTTCCAGTACGTAAGCGGTATTGCCGCACCTGTCCAGGGAGACGGCCCCCAAACGGAACCCAGGGAGGAATGAGTTATGTACTGTGTACTGTGTACATCAAGGCTTCCAAAGGCTGTATTCCGGCACCTTCCCTTATTCGACCGCATTTTTGTTGTGTAGAACCCTGGTTGCTGGCAGCGTGGTGAATGGGGAATATTCCACCAAGCAGAATGGTACCATTGATTATTGCGTATTGGTTTGCCTCACCTAACACAGTATGTTTAAACAGCACGTGGTGGGTCAGAATTATAACCGCAAGGATGAAAGGCTTTAGCATACTTCCTGAAGTTGGTACGACACGTTTAACTAAATAACTAATAAGTACATTTCAAGCCCTATCATAGGAAAAACATTTTACGGGCGGTTTTCAATATTTGTTGGGAAACCTTGCATTACAGTCCAATCTTCCATTGCAATCCCATTCATTTCCGGATGTTTGTTCTGCCTATATCATTTGCTTCCCATCTGTTATCGCACCAGGTGTAGGGGCTGCTGGTTGCCACTATATGGCCAATTCTGCAATGGAGAAAAGTAATAAGCTTCATAAATTATTTACAGCAATAATCGTAAAAAAGTATTATCGCGTGGAGGGCTTCCAGTGAGTTTTAAATTGGCTTACTCGCACTCGGGATTTTAGATGTATACGTACTTGTACATGTAAGATCCAAGATAGGACGTACCAGTGCCTGCGACGATCTCTCAGAGAGAAAGAGAGATTAGATGACATTCTGTACAGGAGCCAGTCAATAAACCCATTCCAATCAAATCTGTTCTTTTTCTAGTTCGCGATAATCTTTATTTGAAGCGTAGGCACGTTACAGCATTCTGGTGTGGTGTTGTTTACTGGGAGTTGACATAAACTTTTAGATTATGTCGAGAGAAGAGAGCTTTCAAAGGACCATCTTAATAAAAACTCTCAAGGCGCTATCTGCTATTTGTCAGCAATGATAATAATACAATAATGACATTTATTTGCAACTAAACGTTGGATGGTACATTTATGATACTAAAAAAAGTCATTCTTAAAAAAAACATTAGAAACTAAAATATTTTGTAAAATAAAACGGTATTAGAATTAATTTTTTGGATGTATTTGGTAAAATCATAAAATTACATAAAAGTTGACAATGGTCAGGGAATAAAAGTCCTTGAGGATCTCACTGTTCTCAGTTTTGGCACTCTAAATATCTGGGGACTTCGTAGCTTATGATTTTTTCTATAATTGCCACATGTGATGATTTGCTCTGCCTTTGTTTCTGCCTTTGTTCTTTTTTGCAACTCCATCAATTATCATCCCCGCCTTAAAGGAAGCGCACCTCGCACCTGGAGAATGAGTTTTATTATGCAAGTGGTAACACTGGCAACTAGTGATGCAAATGACGAGACATCTTTTGACGCTTTATTAGCCCTATACAAAAGTATCCCCAGGCTTTGTTCAGGGACTCTTTTCATCATTTGCCAGTGGTTTTTGCTCCTCTGATAGTTTATTTTATTAACCTGGCTCTAGAAACAATACGAACGATTATCCAAAGATTCACCTGGACTTATGCCAAACTTATGTAGTTAAACTAAATGGAACGAAGACTGGAGACCTGGTAGAGGGCTATTCTGGCTATTAAAGAAGCACGGTACATTATGTGGTGCCTCTTTTGAACTGGCTACACATATTCTTTTTTGAGGCTCTGACCCCCCTCTTAGATAACGGTCTGCTGCCAGACAGTATGTCCTGTTATACATGTATTACGCAGAGAGATTCCCTATTAGCAACAAACACGCCACACGATTAAAATATGTGTGGTCAAAGCCAAGGGAAGAGAATCATAATCGCGATTTCCAGCGTAGAAGACCAGCACCTTATCTCAGAATTTATCGAAACCATTAACCCTGAAATATATTTCATTGGTAAAATCTGAAAAGAGTAATTCACTTATAAATTAACAAAGGCTGTTGTGCCTCTGGTAATTTTTCATGAAAAAAAAATTCTAAAGAAGTCTTTTAGTTATGGAACTCGACCATATCTGACTGCAATATCTCGGGTGAGAAAGTAGGCTGGAGTTTCAAGTTAATTTTTTTTAATTTTGCCCACGTCACCCAAGCTAGAATACTGTATAAAACCAACTGGAGAGGCTCAGTTTTGTGTCCCGTTGGGAAATCCATCCACTTATATAATTACTATTAACGGTAATTGGTTTCGAAGTGAAGCGTGCACCATCGTTCCCTGACGGCTTCACCTCTATAGAATTATTTGATGAATAGCGATTTTTTTTTTATTTATGAGTCAGTTTTGTATGCCTATTCATACTTAAATGTGGTCCTGTGCCACATTATCTGTATTTTCCAGAACATAGTCTGCAAAGCGACTAGTATTTTCTAATTTAGACATTAAAACCGATAAAACCCCTCAAATAAAAACACCTGCTGTTGATATTTCCTTCCGAAAATTTACCGGAAGACACTGGCCATTTATCGAACAACTGTATCCAAACATAGGGGTGGGTAAAGCAATGATACGTGCGTAAGAAGGTGACAATATTTTTTTCCGAGAAAAATTCGATTTGTCGGGAACATCTTGGATATGATACCTTTAACTATGTAAGAATTGCACTTTCCTAAGTTCAGCAAGCGTTCTATTCAGAGTAATATTCGCTTACCTGTCCCGATGCAAGTTGTTGGTGCTTATGCCAAATTAAAAAATAGTGCTACGCTTGTCTCTATGTCGTATAATATAAAGGAATGTCTTTTTTCAATTTTATCCTTTACCATACAGTTTTAACTTTTTCAAAATTTTTGTTATTTCAATAAAATTCTGATTAAGAACATTTTATGCATTCAATGCAGTCATGTCTTAGAATAAATGGAAATAGGTCTTTTACTTCCTTCCTTTATATATATATATATATATATATATATATATATATATATTTCAATTGTATATTTCAAGTGTATATTTTGGAATAATTTACTTGAAGTTCAGAATCTTTTTGAACGGTCCTATGACTTCCTATATTGTCTTGAATTTTAAAACACCTTATACACAAAATTCCTATATACTAAAAGCAGAAATAAGTCTTACCATTTTAACATTAAGACATCTTCACAACAAATCCATCATGTCGATCATTATGATAATGCTACATTTACATAAACACACAATTGCCCAATTATCTTTGAAAGGACACAAAGCGCACAGCAATTGTTCACCTTATGATACAATATTCGAGTTCTGCTTGTTTGTTCATTTCAAAACTTTAGCCTAAAACACATTTGCAGCATCTCTCAGTGATACCTTAATTTTACAGGAGTATACTTGTTTAATTCTGCAAGCAGCGATGCACGTAAACAGATTTAAAATGACCATTTATACCTTCTTGTCATCCATGTCACTGCCTTTCAAGCAGTCATTCTGGAAAACCTTTAGTGTCATTTTTAGACAAAACGAATGCTTTTATCCAAATAAAATCTAAATTATTTAATGAAAAACAGACGATCGTTTTATACAGTAGGTAATGTAAAACGCCTACCTCGAGCGTCACACGCCGTATGTTATAAGCTGATAGCATCGCAACAAATAACATGTAATGAGCTACGCTAAATGAGGAAGTAATGACAGCCAAGATAATTAGAGTGGTTTTGCTTTGTTTCTTTTTCTATTTTTTTATCTTTCAATTAATTATGTAAGATGAAGCCATCTCCAAATTTATATCTCCAAATTTCTCTGAAAATTACACTACTTCTAGAATGAAAATCTTAACAGTGTGATTGCTTAAATATATCCACTGTATATCCACAATATGCCATCTACTTTTTGAATTTTCTGTCAATTAAAAAGGAGCAAATTTACAAATTCTACCACGCCCGCCCTGTGAGCAAAGTGTTTAAGCTTTTAAAGGTGTTCACAAAATGCTGGTAAAGTGTGGGTTGTAATAATATTATATCCTTAAGTGTTCTTGTTAGCAACATCATAACTTTAGACCACCATATTTGTATACTCATTTTATATCCAGAAATTGCACGATAAAAACATGGGATATTTCAGAATAAAAGTATGTCACGTAAAACGTATTTTTGGCACATGGGAACACTTGAACACAGGAATGAATAACCATGTGTCAGAACGGATCAGTCGACTTCCCTGTCCGTAGCTCACTGTAATATGTCGGGCAGTGTTCTTTAGGCTGGTTCTAATATCACTTTATGTGCAAAAGCAATGTGCTGCTGAAAAAGTTGCCATGTTTTGAAAACATTTGGCAGAATATTTTGAAACTTTGCATGTAGCGGAATTTATGGCGCGTGAACTGAATATGTCACGAAACAGATAGAGATTAAAGAAATGACGTCTCAGTGGATAGATTAATTAAAAAAAATACGACTCACACATTTAAGAAAAAAAAAAAAGGTTTTGGAAAAACCAAATTTCAAGGCCACGAACTATCGTAATACATCTGAAACATGGTTATTGCCTTCTGGGTAATTGTTTTATTTACAACGTTTATCATTCTTGTTAATATTATGTCAAATGTAGTAACGAGTCAATAAATGTATGATTTCGTACTCAATAACCAACATTATTATTATTATTATTATTATTATTATTCACAAACTGCCAGATAATCCAGTCGAGGTTCACGGTGTTCCAATAATAATTTGATTACTTACCGGCAATTTCATGCGATGGCATTTACTTCTGGCCGCAGTTACCGCTTGACCTGTGAGAGGACAGGGGTCGTTAGTCCAGAGTCCCTTTAGAAGGAAGCACTGTGTGTGGTGGGGTTCAAACACTGGAACACGTTTAGTGTTTTTCTGTCCTATGACAAGTTGTGCACGGGCGGAAAAGTCTACGTTATATTTCAGTGACGCCCTATTTATATCAGCAAAACGTCCTACTACACTTGTTGGCTTATTACTTCTATCCCTTGACCAATTAGTGTCAAGCAAGCGCCATAAGCCCCGCCTCTCTCGGTTTTCATGAATAATTACAGTCGAGTAGTCATGCACTCCCATGCCTCTGATACACAAACCTTGACATAATTGAAAGCTTTTATTTCTCGATTTTTTTATTCGGGTTCTAAAGTTCATATAGCTTGGGTACCTTTTGGTTCTAATCTTGGGAAATTGTAAATATTTTTTTCAAAATGACCGCCATTACCCAAAGAATAATCCACAGTACAAGTCTAAAAGGTACGATTACAGAAGTCAAAATGATATATAATAACATAAGACAATGAAGCACGTAAGATGTCACAAATGTAACCATTTAATCACTCGATTAAACAAACTATCAACTTAGCTATTTGATTTTATTGATACTACTTGGTAAGCTGAGAAAAAAAAGAAAAAGTAATAAGACCCATTCTGACAGCAAATATTTAAGTCTAAAATTCAACATATTACCACTGAAAAAACTCCTAGATCCACCATTATCCTTGTGTCTTTATAACCACAAAGATTTATGATATTTATTTCAGGAATTTTTTCCCCAAAATTCAATGCAACTTAAACAGAGAGACACTTATCGCAAGGAAGAAAAAGACTTTCACGCTTTTGCGGCATTTTGAAAAAAATAAAGGAAGTCGTATATGAAATAATTTTCAACATTAAAGCAACAAATGACAACCAAATAAATAATATACGATAAATCGTTCCACATTCTATGATTGTGCATTTTTCGAAACTTAAAGTTTGCTTTTAAAATGGGCATACTCACCTCACGGATTAGACACTTGATCAATTATTTGGATTCAGATTGCAATTCTAATTTTGCTTTATCAACGATAAAATCTGAACTAAGGCTTTTAAGAAAAATCGCTGGCAGGGTTTTGGAGAACTAAATAGTGTCATTAGATTGGCATTAGTGAGAGATAAAACAAGAAAATCAAAGCAAACAGATGAATGATATGCCATTTATTATAAAAGAAAAGAAAATTGGCAAGAAACAGACGAGGGTCAGATTCGCAAATTACCGTGTATGTATAAAAGTAAGAAAATAAAGGCAGAGACAAATACATATCAATTCGATAGGTTGATGCTTTAAGAAATAACAAATGTTAAATATAAAAAGAAACTGTAGCAATTAAGGTGGCACATGAAACAGGATCATGAAAATGAAAAAGTTTAGCCGACACTCCAACCAACAGAAAAAAAATTCCCGAACACAAGAAACTCTTCTAAAAATGGAAGAAAAACTTGGAAAAAATGAGAAAGAACAGGTGATTAAAACAAAGCTTAAACTTATCTATTTAGTTGAGAATGGGAATAACTTTTCTTTCTTTCAAAATTTCAACTCTGCATCTAATTTTCATAATCAAACACATTTTCGATTTTGCACTGGTCTGTTATTTTGGAATGCCAAGTCCACACATACATACAATGGCATTATACACAAAGATATCATTTCAAAGAATTGCCTTAAGAAAAATAAACCATGTGATAGAATAAAATGCATTTAGTGTAATTCTTTATTTATTTAATTTTTAGAAAAATATAAATATGAATTTTAGTAACTTGGGTTAGAAATGCCAATTTTAGAAAATTATCACAAGTATAAATAGCTAAAGTCAAGTGTCCTTCTTGCATGTGATTAACACAAGCATTTGTCTACTGCTTGTTTAGACTAGACCATGGCACAGATTATTTAAACTACACTTAACCAAAAACTGAATACAATAATTTATTGATTTCCTTCTCCTGTATCAATATGTAATGATTTTATAAAAGGAATAAGGCTTTTATCACAGACCAGTGTACCTTGATACTTGGAGAGGTGTGTGTGTGTGTGTGTGTGTGTGTGTGTGTGTAATTAAATCCCCTCTACATTTGGATTTAAAAACAACATGTTTGGGACTTGGGTCAAGCAACTGCAATATTGTTCTTGGTAAATGTACTGGCATCTTGTGTATACTAGGTTTCTAATACCAGGGTAGTGTCTATTTTCATCACCATGTCACTTGTATACTGGCCACGGTTTCACCAAAAAAAAAACAAAAAAACTTAAGTCAGGTTCCCTGGCTAAGGANAGTAATTAATCCCCTCTACATTTGGATTTAAAAACAACACGTTTGGGACTTGGGTCAAGCAACTGCAATATTGTTCTTGGTAAATGTACTGGCATCTTGTGTATACTAGGTTTCTAATACCAGGGTAGTGTCTATTTTCATCACCATGTCACTTGTATACTGGCCACGGTTTCACCAAAAAAAAAAAAAAAAAAAAAACCTTAAGTCAGGTTCCCTGGCTAAGGACTTAATTACCAAGGTTACATGGTCACATCTAATTATATCATATAATACATATCAGGAGCAGTGTTACAGCACTCTCATGGAAATCCTAGTCAACTAAGCTGGGGAACTGATTTAAGCTCTCAGGGTGGTGTTTGGATTTAACCAAAGATCATAGCACCAAGATCACACCGGGATTTCCTTCGTGTTTGGCAAATGTGAAAAGCAAGTAGTACTCTTTGAGGACAATACACTACCACAGGTATCAAGGTGTGCATTTTGATTCAGCCAGTTGTTTTGATATTATACAAAGAATTGAAATTGAACTTCATGATGGATGCTAACATTCAGTAAGTGGGCATGACAACAGTACCATTGGGCTCAGTTTCACGATGAAGTCTTTGGAATAGAAGCAAAATGTCAGAGCTCATACCACCTACTGTAAGTGTCCAGTGTGGGATTTTCAAAAGAATATGTCCATTCCTTTCGGACGCCAAGACAGGTTGACTATTGTTCCTTGGGTTTGACAATGGTCACTTTGTGCACTTTACACCTGCGGACCACGCGGTCAAAGCTGTCCAGGTAGAAAAGAGAGATGATCCTGAACAGCCCCATGGTCACCACCTAAAGAGATACATTAAGTCTTTTCAATTAACTGAGCAGAAAGACATGTAGCACATTAATAAAGATTTCTGGGTGCAACACAACAAAATCTACCCAATTTACGAATATCTGCATTGTTATAGTGATGGCTTGGATTTACCGAATTGAACAAGAGGTCAGATTTTACAAAGAAGAAATATTAAATATTGCACTTGAATTTACTAATCAAGAATTTACATTTCACAAGGAATAAATATGACTTATTGTACTGGGTCCAGTTTTATAAACACTGGATAGCGCTGTCCTCTAGACACTACCCATTAGATAAAATTGTTATCCTCTGGTCAGCTATCCTGTGGGTAAAGTAATGTTTCCTAAATGCTACATACTTATTTTTGTTTCTGATGTTGCTTTCTAGTGGTTAAAAATGGCTGCTTTCTTCATGACAACTGTCCATAGGATAACAATTTGATACAGTGGAGAGTGTTATCCATAGGATAGCACTATCCAGTGATGATGAAACTGAGCCCTGGCTCACTGATAAAGCACTCTTTACACTGGACGGCATCCTCTCCGAGTCCAGTAGTACGGCCCTATTTGAGCCTAAAAATAAATAATATTTTACATGCTGACAACTGGTCGATCATTGAGCATTCATTTTGCAGCCAAAGAGATGTTTGTGCCTCCTTTCTGCGACCACAGCAATGCCAGTTTCATGGTTGCACAAAGGATGCAGAAAGGACGCTGTCCAGTGTAATGGGAGTATAAAATACAGTACCTGCTGAGTGGCCTCCATGAGGGAGGTGACAGGGGACATGCCACATGTCAGGTTAGTCAGGAGAAACCCATCCACTCCCACAGAACACAAGAACTTCCCCTTCTAAAATAATACAAATAGAAGGTGTGATTTTTTTTCAGAAAATTAAGGCAAATGGGGGTGTTTCTTGACAGTTAACTGTATGGGTTCTAAAGAGGAACAGCTGAACACAGAAAAAGAAATTTAACAAGGCAGCAAAGCTGTCAAATGTACAGACAAAGAACAGAAAATAAAGATGCAAATAAGTGAAAAATTTAATTTTCACAAAAAACTGTTAAATTGCCAGAAAAATTTACCAAACANTTCACCAAAAAAAAAACAAAAAAACTTAAGTCAGGTTCCCTGGCTAAGGACTTAATTACCAAGGTTACATGGTCACATCTAATTATATCATATAATACATATCAGGAGCAGTGTTACAGCACCCTCATGGAAATCCTAGTCAACTAAGCTGGGGAACTGACTTAAGTTCTCAGGGTGGTGTTTGGATTTAACCAAAGATCATAGCACCAAGATCACACCGGGATTTCCTTCGTGTTTGGCAAATGTGAAAAGCGAGTAGTACTCTTTGAAGACAATACACTACCACAGGTATCAAGGTGTGCATTTTGATTCAGCCAGTTGTTTCGATATTATACAAAGAATTGAAATTGAACTTCATGATGGATGCTAACATTCAGTAAGTGGGCATGACAACAGTACCATTGGGCTCAGTTTCACGATGGAATAGTCTTTGGAATAGAAGCAAAATGTCAGAGCTCATACCACCTACTGTAAATGTCCAGTGTGGGATTTTCAAAAGAATATGTCCATTCTTTCCAGACACCAAGACAGGTTGACTATTGTTCCTTGGGTTTGACAATGGTCACTTTGTGCACTTTACACCTGTGGACCACACGGTCAAAGCTGTCCAGGTAAAACAGGGAGATGATCCTGAACAGCCCCATGGTCACCACCTAAAGAGATACATTAAGCCTTTTCAATTTGCAAAGCAGAAAGACATGTAGCACATTAATAAAGATTTCTGGGTGCAGCACAACAAAATCTACCCAGTTTTTTAATTTCTGCATTGTTATATTGATGGCTTGGATTTACCGAATTGATCAAGAGGTCACATTTTACAAAGAAGAAATATTAAATATTGCATTGAATCTACTAATCAAGAATTTACATTTCACAAGGAATAAATATGACTTATTGTACTGGGCCCAGTTTTATAAACACTGGATAGCGCTGTCCTCTAGATAACACTACCCTTTAGATAAAATTGTTATCCTCTGGTCAGTAATCCTGCGGGTAAAGTAATGTTTCCTAAATGCTACATGCTTATTTTTGTTTCTGATGTTGCTTTCTAGTGGTTAAAAATGGCTGCTTTCTTCATGACAACTGTCCATAGGATAACAATTTGATACAGTGGAGAGTGTTATCCATAGGATAGCACTATCCAGTGATGATGAAACTGAGCCCTGGCTCACTGATAAAGCACTCTTTACACTGGACGGCATCCTCTCCGAGTCCAGTAGTATGGCTTTATTTGAGCCTAAAAATAAATAATATTTTACGTGCTGACAACTGGTCGATCATTGAGCATTTATTTTGCAGCCAAAGAGATGTTTGTGCCTCCTTTCTGCATCCACAGCGATGCAAGTTTCATGGTCGCACAAAGGACGCAGAAAGGACGCTGTCCAGTGTAATGGGGGTATAAAATACAGTACCTGCTGAGTGGCCTCCATGAGGGAGGTGACAGGGGACATGCCACATGTCAGGTTAGTCAGGAGGAACCCATCCACTCCCACAGAACACAAGAACTTCCCTTTCTAAAATAATACAAATAGAAGGTGTGATTTTTTTTCCAGAAAATTAAGGCAAATGGGGGTGTTTCTTGACAGTAAACTGTATGGGTTCTAAAGAGGAACAGCTGAACACAGAAAAAGAAATCTAAATATTAGTTTTATGTACCAATTACTTAAGACAGGCTATGGTATCATTTAAAATACTTCAGGGTCATTTACAACTTACAACTGAATCTTCTAAGATACTATTTGCCACTTTCTCTGGACAGAACAATCCTGCAACTTCTGATATCAACCTTGTTTCTTCTGGCTGTGAAAAAGAGGAGACATCTCAAAGATACAGGTAAGGTACTGTATATAAATCTTAATGCACAGTACATTGATAAATCTATTCCTTCACACATTATTCTGTACTGCAGTTTTTTGTCTCTTTATCAGCCAGTTTCATCTACAAAGACTGGCTGAAAGGCAGGAGGTTACAACCAAATGATTTTATTGTTAAGTAGGTGAACAGATGTACTGGTGTCTATATAAAGCAGCATTTACAATTATCATCAAGCAGATGAGAGCAGAAAATGCTGAATAAATTTTTAAAAAGGATATAATTCTCTCCTCAAATGATTCTTAAATTTTAATTAAAATGATTTTATCTGAAATATTCTTCGGGTAACTGTCAAGGGTGTTTACCTTAGTTTTGTTTTCCTCAGCATAGCCAGGTGTGTCTGTATCTGGAGGAAAGGCCAGGGTTATGTAAATGTTGTATGGTTTGACCTGGAAAACAAATAATTTCAAATCAATATCCTTTCAATGGTGACAATGCAATGAGATAGCTGAATATCATTACAAAAAGCTATCTCTGGGAAGTGGACATCTACATCTGAAAACATGGGAAATTTGTGTATAATCAAAAACAGTACGAAAACCATTCAATTCACGTACTTGCATCACTTCTGATGTATCCATACTGGAAAAAAAAATGAAACTAACATTGCACAAATTGAATGCCATTTCACATGGATGAGACCAGTCCTCACTGAAAAAGTAGGAAAATTGGCTGGGGGTCAAGGGTACACGATTCACAAGAATGACCCAAATGACCCTGAAAAATTCGAAATTCTGACAAAAGTCGGAAAAGTCTCATCAGTGATTTCATATAATNGAAACCATGTGTACCGCCAGCGCTAACGCTGGCGGTACAATTACGAGCCATAGACCCTTTTTTTTTTATTTTGAGTTCTAAGTCTAGTCACAAAGTCAGTCTTTAGAGATTGGTGACTTTCACTCTGGACGGTCAAAGTTTTGACATTAAGAACCCAGCATTGTTTCATAGGAATATTCATAGATCAAATTTTCTCAACAGTTTTAGATAGGGTACACCAGGTTGGTGATAAAGATAACAATTCTGAAATTTTCAGGAAATTTAGATTTTTATCTGAGCATAAATATGGAGTAATAGATGTAAGTAAACCCAAAAATGCAATGATGTCGCAGATCTTCAACTGAAACCTATAACCTTATATTAGGATTATTATGAAAAATCCCTGAAAAAAAGATGATCTGTAGGATGATCTGGGTTCATTTTAGTAAGTACGTTTCATAATTTAAAAAATAAAAATAAAAAATAAAATTAATGAATTTTAACATTATTCAAAAACACATACACTCTAAAAATATAGAATAAATTGAGCGTTTAAAATTAGAGAATGATTACCTTACCTCCATTTGCAGAGCTTCTGCAAGCCCCCTGAGTGCAAACTTAGAGGCAGAGTAAGATGTATATCCATACAGCCCCAGCTGCCCAGCCATGGAAGACACGTAGACTATACGTCCATTTTGCCTCTCTTTCATATTCTTTATCACAGCACGAGTGGCATAGACACTGCCATGGTAATTCAGGTCCATGGTTTTCTGCAATGCAAGGAAAAAATGTACTAAGGTGAAGGTAGAGCAAAGGCCTTGTTTTCATTTTCTTATTTATTCATCTATTTACTTTGGCATTTTAGTGTAATCTATTACTGAATTAGTAACTGAAGCAGTAACTGAATTAGTTCCAGAAATCTACTGACTAGGTTAGGTTAGGTTATTTGATTAAAAATAGGTTAGCCTGGACAAGAACCATTTGAATGTTGCAAAATAGTAAACATCTTCCAAACAACTAAATTAATTAATTAATTGAAATAGAATAGAATAAAACTTATAAATTAAAAAAAATGGTATAACAAAACAAGATAAAACAAAGTAATTTTTCCAACCCTGTACTCTATGTCACACTGAAATTGTTCCCATATACTATTTCATATCCAAATTTTAAAATAAATAAATAAATCCAATACCTTACCCCTATGCCCCTTCAAAATATCTTGATTATGATAATATTTGTGTTTTTCTCTGAAACTGAGGGTGTTGGGATTTAAATTGTTCTATAAAGAGACTGTGAAACAAAGGGTACTCACTCTAAACTCTTCTAATGGAATCTCATCAAACCTGCCACTCATCCCAGCCCCAGCACTGTTGATCAGCATGGACACTGGACCTAGGTGAGCCTCTGCCTGGGGAGAAAATAGTTCACTTAAACCAGTATGTTACAGGATAGCTTGGCTGGGAATCTCAGTCTGTTGGTTCCATTATACATACTGTATCTTTTCAAAGTCTTCGTACAATAACCCGTTTCATTTGTTAATATGTTATTTTAATTTTGTCACCATCGTAGTTTTTAAGACATTTATGTCACATGCATATATTTGATGACTCATTGATATTTCATCTACTTATATCGGTACTAAGTAACTACATTCATTTACCAGGTAACTATTTATATAATATCATACTTTATACTGGTACACTCACCCTAATTCATATTCGATATTAACAATGTATTTTGAATTCAACCATTTATGTAAAAAATCATACATATACATTTAGTGGTACATTGATTAAATTGATATAAGCACATATATAAAAGAATACCTTTCTTATCACTTGTTCTACTTCTCCATAGTTCTGAGATATGTCTGCTGAAAAGCACTGGATTCTCTAGAATATAAACAAAATCAAAACAACATTATGATGGTCATTTGAAATCATCTACAAACACTTTTCAAAATGGTTTTTAAAATTTAAAGTTGATCAGTTCTGTACATACAAGTTCAGTTAACTGTAACTGGAGAAAGCTATTTTATATAGAACTGGATCTTATAGTGAATCTCACTGATAAAGCACTGGGAGAAAATCCTTTTCTCTAAAGCTAAAAGTCTGAGTAAGAAGTTGATACAGTAATGCAATCTGTGACACTAGCACTTGCCCCAAGACAAATACGAGTAAAATTGTAGCTGGGTCATTAAAACTTTGCACATTTGTTCAGTTGTATTTGCGTTAAGCCATTAGATTCTTAGATAATGCGGACTGCAAAATTTTGAAAAAGACTGTTTATTGATCAAAAAGTATGAATTCTACAAAATTAATTTAAATTTCTAAACTTAACACTTAAAGGTTTATCTTAATATAAGAAAATAAAGGTCACTGTATGATCACTTTGTGAAATCCTAACATGTCTGTATTTAACATTACAGTAACTATGCACACACATAAAGCTGTGTGTGCACATGTAGCTATGACAGAAAACATAAACAGCCCATCTAATTTATGGATTTTTAAGATTATTATTGTGATATAATTACAATCCCTCATACCCCTCCTCAACAGGCCTGAATCAAGAAAAAAATACATTCTGTATACAACAGCAGCAAAGAGAAGTATTTTCAATTGAAAAGTTTCACTGCAACTGATTACAAGAGAAAATGGCTTGACAGGAGTACCTCCGTAACAACAGAGAGAGAGAGAGAGGGAGAGATGGAGCAATTCCAGTATTCAACTCTTTTTTCTGAAAGGGACAAAGTGTACACACATTTAGTACATTCATGTACTAGTAAACCATTACTTGCTGATCTTGGCTGAGGACAAGTACTAGTAATGCTATTTGATTTTTTTTTGAAAGATAAATGCCATGAATGAAAGACCCAAAAATATTCTAACCTGTCAACCACCTTGACAAAGTTTTGAATTTCCTGCAACCAAAAAGTCAGTGCTCAAAGTGATAGCAGAATTTGAAAATCCTACACTTAACCATGGGTTAAGGACTATTGAATTCTTCCAGAATGTAATGTCAGTGTCAAGAAAGAAAGATCAAAAGTTGTTTAGTTGGAGAAAAAATACCATTTACTTTAGGAAAATCTATTAAGTATGAGTTTATTGTCACATCAAAATCTTCTACTGTGCACCTTTAAGAGCTGAGAGCAATATGGCAGACATTTTACCTGAGTACTACTGCCATTACAGCATTTTTCTACCTCTTCACGAGCTTGTGTAAGTCTTACCTAAAAAAGTAAAGAGTTTATTCATTACAAATCACAAGCAAAGCATTAAATCAGAAAATTCTAAACATCTTTATATTTTTCAACATAACTGATACATAATATTCACTTTACAGTGAAAGTGCAAATTTAAGCCAGAATGCTTGATGAGACTATGAAGAAAGTGTGTGCACGTGCCCATGTGTGTGAGAATGTGTATGAATCAATGTGTACAAGTATTTGCATATGTGTGTGAGAGTACTACTGGTACATGTTCTGTATGTGGTACATTGCCAAATTCAATCTATGTAGGTACAATTTTATTCCACAGTAATTTTCCCTTCCATATTGTATTTTACCTCCCATTTTATTCCCATTTTTTCAGCAACTTCCATTGTTACAAATAATACTCATGAGGGTATGGTGAGATTAAAATACCCTTATAGGAAAAGATGTATACTGGAGATGGGGGG